TGGATATAAGGCCAGACAATGCGATGGGGTCTGAGAGTCATTACGTATTTTCATCGAGTCCACGATACGTAATGCGTTTAAAAGCAGACAAGGCATTGAATTGTTGATTATCAAGTTCTGACCAAGTCTGAGTAGAGTCTATTAATTATCCTAAGGCTGTGCCCTACCCAGAATAGGTTGAGTGAGATAGACGCAGCGGGCTCATCCGTGATACCCACACATCTGGGAGGCCTTATAAGCAACACTAGAACATGTTCCAATATAGTTTCTATACGAAGTTGATGATGAGTGATGGATTCTCTTTTGCCCGAGGATAGTGGCAAGTTAGCTGGTAAAGTTGGCCGAAGACTGCGGGTAAATCTAGACCCGACAATGCAAAAACATGACTTGGATAACCGACTAACCAAAGAAAATAGACGCTCATCAGCTTACACTGTAGCTCTCTCTTTATTTTGAATGCGTAATTCAATCGAGAGACCGCCACTTACTTTTCTAGAGCCTTTTCTCCCCTCCTCTCTTTGACCAAGACCCCAGCTAGCACCGGGATTTCCAGTCCCCTGTTCCCCGAGTGTTTACAGTACAGTACAGTACAACCTCATGTTGGAATAGCAAGCAAAGCGTTAGGTAGTATGTGGTAGCCATTGATACAATTCTTTCCTTTCTTCCTTCCTCCTCTGCTACTAGGTCAATTCCTTCGACTCTTAGGTAGGTGGTAGATATCATTGACCTTCCCCTTCTGTGCATATCTCCATTGTGCGGTTTAACTTATTCCGTACGATAAACTGACTATTTTGTTCATTTTTTTTTGTTTAAAGAAAAAAAGAAACCTATCATTTTGTTATCAACAAGTCTCGATTCGTGTAAATGCGACTCAGCAGGTAAACTGATTCGGCAAGGTTATCGGGGCGACGAAACCAAGGTAATTAGTAGCTTATACCTAGACCTACGCATTTTTGAATGCAGTGGTCGCTGATTCCTCTTTCAGGGTCAACCATCTTGTTAAACGCCCGCTGCTAGTCCTCGTTAATCACGCCGTCCATCGTCCGGTTCTCGTCCGTCTCAACGCCGTCTCAATCTCTGTCTCAAGACCCGAAGTGTGGGCAGCGGTTATAAGTAATAACGTAGTCAGCAGCAAGCAACGTAGGTTGTCAACAAAGGACACAATTCAAAATGCCTCGGATATAAAAGTGTTCCGTCCCGATGTGTTTACTGTAGATAGTTAGCTACTTACCTATCGACTACACTAAACACAGGAAACAAGATGAGGGATGTTCATGGCTTCTCCTAGCTCCTTCCTGTAGGTGCAGAGTACATACAGAGTACAAGAGTCAGAGTAGGCCGAATGTTACGTACCGTTCTGGTTCTGGTTATGGATCTCAATCCCAACCCAACCCAACAAGCCCCTGCCCTGCGTAATCAATCCGACGCAACGTTCGAGAAAACGAGACAAGGAGCAGACCGGTAGTATCGGCATAGGTTTAAAGCCGCATAGAAACTTTGTTCGGCACTTGTGCTGTCACCATCGCAATTAGAAAACCCCGAGTGGTGTGTGTTGTAGCCAGCCCAGTCTCCTGACTGAGATTGGCTTTCTCAAGTCATAGCGGAATGATAAACTTAGTTAAATGCCACAATGGAAATAAAGGTGCAGTCGATGTTTATTAATCTTAAAAAAGCTTGATGCCATTTTGATGTCATGAGCAGAGATCTATTACATTTCCATACTGGAGGCATCGAGAATTAAAATGTGGATGCCATCAAAATTAATCGCGGTTAAATAACCTAGTGTGGTATCAAGTCAATGTTTCAATTGCTCTGACATTGCTTATCTAAAATTAACATGTATGTATCTAGCTAGGTAGTTAGCTGCATGCAAAAGGCCTTGTTTCCTCCCATTCATTCCCCTTTTCCCATGCCGTGTTGAGAGTAATGCCTTGTTACTACTACGTGGGGGTTGCACCTCTTTGCATATACGCAAAGCGTGGGAGCACGCATTCAGCGTCAATCTGGTGACACGGTGCGTAGGCTGGTTGATAGAATGGTATGGCATTGCACAGAGTAGACACAGGTACTCTGCCACGTCTCCATATCCTATGGGGAACATTTGTGCTCGAGCATCTGCTTGCAGTGTAGCGCGAACTCCTCCATCTTCATCAACACCCACATCGGTACACTAGCTTAGCAAACCCCGCCAAAACCTCTTGACCCCTTCTCTGTTGAGCTTCTGTGTGCCCAAGTTCCCACAAGGCTAAGTCATATGCTTCTTCTTCTTATCTACCGGAGCATGGTGAAGCTTGGAATATTTGACCATGTACATACCATCATCACTGTAACCTTGATGCTCACATATCATCTTTTTTCAGTTTTGCACTTTTAAGATCAGGATAGTAAGCAGTTCAACGGCTCATGTCCTGAGTCCACTAACAGGGAACATGGTTCAGAGTCCTGCCCGACATATGTATGCCAAGGTCCGCCCATATGAACGGGGCCAACATCATGTTTATGCCCTCAAGGACACAAAGCACCAAATAGATGGGAGGGCTTCTGTCCCTGAGGTCCTCGCTCAGTGGCTATCTTAGTCAAAAGAAAAGCAAAAAAATAAATAAAAAATAAATAACATCCCATTCTTTATCACATGTGGACCTCGACCCGAACACCTGCCTTCAAGATAGATAGCAATGTTGCTGGTCCAAGTAGTCCTTTGTCCGGGCACCTCTAAGCAAGTCACTAACAACAAATGACAACCTGCTTGTTTGACGCATTGGCATGGGTATGACTCGAGATCTGCCGAGCGTAGCGTTTCGAGGAACAATAGTAAGATAAGTGGCCGACCAACAGGCGAGGACGGTATATGCGATGATCAATCTGGATATAATCAGTACAAAGCAATGCTGACATTGACCTGCGAAATGTTTTATGAGTTAGACATTGGTAAATCTGCAATCACACAAAAGGAAGTCTCAATCTAAAAGTCGAGATATTCCCGCATAAGTAGGACGGACGAAACAAGTAAGAAATTGGCCGCTTGAATTATGAATGCCATTCAAATTTTTGTCGTAAATGTTGCAAAACGATAATTATAAATGTCAACAGATAACCTAGCGCCCCAAGAATATGCCTCTTTTTGTTCGTACGCCTTGCGCCGGTGCGGAACTGCTTCTGCTTTCGTTCGTTATTCGATGCTGCGTCGTCATGTCGCCCTGTTCGTTGGGCAGTTGGCCATCTAGAAATTGCAGAAAAGTAATAAAGCCCTTCTTATCTCATCCCATCTCTCTGTACTTCCCACGGTATCTTGCCAATCATTTTTAAAATCATTGGGCATATCCTGTTCGCCAAAGGCATCACCTTATATGTGGTCCTTGACGCTGGCCTGTTGTCGTTGTTGGCGTCTCGATTTGCTCGTCCGCCTTATTTTTCCTCCTCTTAACATATGGATCCCTTTAATCCATGATGGTATGTATCCACTCATAATACCACGCATTTGGACTTGTTTCGGTCCTTGTTCCTATTTCTGTGTCTTTCGTCTCGATCGCCGCCCCGTGCATCGCCATTGCCTGTTCGTGTCCGTCCACTTGATCTTTCCGAAGGACGAGAGGCTTGTTGTCGCTGCCGGCGTAGAATCCTAACGACGTCGTAGAACGCCTTTTCGACGTTGATGCAGTTCTTCGCTGAAGCTTCCACAAACTCGCAGCCGAGTTCGCGGGCGAGGGCGTGACCTTCTTGTGTAGAAACCTCTCTCTCGGTGACTCGATCGCTCTTGTTGCCAACTAGCATAATAGGTACAGGCAACTGCGGGTTTGCCGAAGAGATAGGAGAGCCAGGATACGATGGGGACGACGCGCACGACTCCTTAACTCGTTGGATTTGATGATGAAATCGTTTAATGCGAGTAAAGGAAGATCGTGACGAGATGCTGTAGACTAGAACGAACCCCTCGCCATCACGAATCCATTGATCTCGCAGTGCCGTGTACTCTTCCTGTCCAGCGGTGTCCAGTACTTCGAGCATGCAGGGCTGGCCATCGATAACGACTTGCTTTCGGTATGAGTCTTCAATCGTAGGGTCGTACTGTTGCAAAGTGTTAATTCATCATTGTTATGAGAGTGGAAGCAAATGCATGCGTTGCATGCCACCAGTCAAACTTACAGTTTCAACAAAGTGTTGCAAACATAGCTGGATGGTAAGAGCTGTCTTTCCCACACCACCGTCTCCCAACACCACCAGCTTGTATAGTACCATTCGGCCGGCCATGATGATGGCAACGGCGAGGAAATCGACAAAAAGGTTAAGGAGTCAATAAGGAGGAGAAAGATGGGGTCTCGTAGGAGAGAAAATGACCCAAGCAACCAACGGACCGGAGAGGGGAGGGTGGAGAAAAGAGGGGGTGGTCGGTGTTGAGGCTCACGAGATGCGAGTGTCGATATATCCAAAGGTGGTTGGAGGTTGTGAGGCAGAGGTTGTCGTCACGGGCAGAGGAGAGGCGAAGGTGAGGAACGGAGGAGGGGGTGGCTTGATGAGCAACTCGAGCTGTGACCTGTACTGTGGGCGTCAAGGCGTCAAGCAAAGCGAGGCAGGGCAGTGCAAGGCAAATCAATGCAAAGCGACGGATGCAAGGCTCAAAAGCACACGAGGCAGGGCGCGGCAAGGCAGCAATAGACGTCGGCGAACAAGCGCCAGTGGCAAAAAAGGAAGGGCTGGCAATAATAGACAGTTGTTGTGATTGAATGTCCGAGAAAAAAGAGTTGGGGACAGGAGAATGCTGGTCTAGGTCCAGGTCCAGGTCTAGGTCCAGGTCCAAGTCCAGGCGTAGTAGTAGGCGTCGACGTGGAGCTACAGAGCTGTTACCGGACGGGAGGCAAAGTTAGTAGTAGGTTGGGTTTGGTTTTGAGTTTGATTTGAGCTTTGAGAAAGATGGAAAAGACGAGCAGCCCAGGCCAGTCCAGCTTAGGTGGAGAACCCTTTTTTTTCTCTCTTCTCTTTTCTTCTCTTTTTCCCAACCTTACCTAAATGCTTGAAGGAGGTTGAGGTTTGCACCGTAGCGGTACTTTCACCCCAGTGCTAGCAGGCCTCTGAGGTGGGCGCCCTGGGCTCCCAGGTTGCCATTGGAGCGGGGCGCCAGGTTCTACCAAATACCTGGGTGAGAGGTATCCATGTAATGGAGACGCGGCAGCGGTACTCTCTTCCTCGGACCCAGAGGGGAGGCTAGAGGCCCTTGGAGGGGTTCTTTAGGGGGCACCAACAGCCATACGAGCCACTTCACCATGCAGACTGCTTCGTACCTTGCGTGTATGATTTACCTCTGCAAGAGGTACCCTTTAGGTTGGGCATAAAGTGGAGGGAATGCAGAAGCACACCCAAGACACCTGGATCACATATCTTGACCTGCAATAATGTTCATACCTGCTGAGGGCAAAATGCGCTTCGACAGTTAAAAAAAAAAAAAAAAAAAAAGAAAAAAGGGGATGTCTATGAATTGAGAAGGGGAACCAACAGGGAATTCACTCGCAGGCAAGGAAGGACAAGCAACTTAGCGAATAAACGAGGTAGAGTAGAGTCGTATGTACCCAAGGAACGGTGCTGCCCTGGTCGTTCATCCATGGGATAGGACATCGGCTCAGTTGGTGCCCCGAGAAATGGGAGAGCGAGGGTGTTAGGCTTCTGATAGGCGAGGAATGAAGCCGGAATGGTGAAGCGGTGGACGAGGGGTACTCCCTGGTCACAAAAGTAGCGGTTGAGCGACTCCATTTCTCTTCACCTTTGTTTATACCCCAGCGTACCCGTACATTGCGTGTCTGTGTGTGTACAGTAGATAGGGCCGTAGATTCCCAGCTTGTGCTTGTACGGATACTTGTGCGTGATATCATTTACCGTCGCTGTTGTGTTGTGTTATGTTTCCTTGACCATGTTCTGTATCGGAATCCAAACCCAGTTGGGCATTGTCGGATTGCTTCAGGATCAATCCAGGCCGTTTTAGGTTGTATGAGGAGCATGCTCATCTCTGCCACACTGGACAGGAGCTTCTGACAGGGACAGGATCCGAATGCCACATTTTGTCTCTTGTGGTTGCTCATCGGCGAGCACCCGGGAGCCCGGGTCACGGCTCGGTTGTGTCGCGGCAGGCGGGCGACTCGACCGGTCCTAGGTCTAGTTTCCACAAACATTAGCTTTGATCCATAGGTCATGCTATATAAATGGAGTGAACTCGAAGACCTTCCCATGCTTTGGTGTTGCTATTTAGTGGGGTTGGTCGGTTGTGATAACAGCTGAAGAACCAACTCGACCAAGTCGAAAACAGGTGTTTTTTTTTTATTTTAGCGGGTTGGGCGGACGATATTGTATTGTGTGTCTTGTTGGTGGTGGTGATGTAAATCGATTGATCAATTTCTTTTTTGATGCCCATAGTGATGAGGTCTGAGGTCTGAAGCATCATCGTATTATGATTGATCAAAAGGTACGGGTAGCTACCACCTAACTAAGTACCTCTTACTTCGAGAGAGAATTAGAGAGTGCATGCAATGCAAAGAAGGAAGGATTGTTTTCCTGGACCACCTTCTATCTTTTTCAATTGTGGCGTCTCAGTTCTTTCTTTCTTCAACATCCCGATTTAACTCACCTCATTATTCTTCTTATCAATCTGCATTTTTCTCAGTCTCATCCCAAGTTTGATCAGAATCCTTGTGATGCCGCACTTCTGCAGTCTGCATTCTGCAGCCCAACACACAGGCCAAGCGGTCGCAGGATGAGCAAGTGGTGTGCCTGGTCACTAATTGTGTGTGTGTGGCTTTGCGCTTTGGGGTCGTCGGTACACACACTAAAAAGCCTCCCCGGGAAGTCCAACCTAAAAGGGAATAGCCTCACTCTCCAGCCTTTGAGAAAAGCTAACACCAGCAGGAGAGCTCTCTAGGTAGCTCTCTAACGTTGGAAGAACTGTACCTAGGAGCCGTCTTTACTTCGACTCATGGACACCATCACCAACAACTGGCAAGTGCTTTTCTTTAGTGCGATAGTCTATCATGGCACAAAATACCTCGACTTAGGGCCTATGCGTGATACCCTCAAACCACAGGGGATCACGCAATCGGAATAATTACATACACAACAAATGGATGCAATAGCTTCTGCTTGTCAACGGTATGACCCCAGCAGTTAACATCGGAGCCGCGTTTGTCGAGCTCCATTGACCGGCACTGATGGATCGTCTTGAATCCTTTCCTTTCGGGTAACTTTTAGTTAAGGGACTCGGCCTTACCTGTTTAGAGAAGCTCTTCTGCTCCTCCATGGCACAGCAACTCTGCTATTTCGAAATTGCCTACAGGCGGTGCTAGAGATGCTCTAGCAAGTCTAGCTACTGGGAGAATCTCGACCCCTGTCTGTCGTTGATCTTACTCATGGGCGAGCTTGGTTCTCCACCAAAAATTCAACGTTGGAGGCAGAAGACGGGAAGACGGGAGGGGCACACGGGAAAGATTTGTTGCTGGCGGATCAGTGAAGAGTCTATGAATTCCTTCATAACGTTTGGTTTTTATTTTTATTTTTATTTTTATTTTACTTTTCTCCTTCTCTTCTCTTCTTCTTTTGCTCCTAAGGATGGTCTCTTGACCATCAGGATTGGGTCAGTCAACAGAGACTGGTCTAATGACAACTTTAAATGGCACCAAATCCTGGAAAAGATTCTCTGCCGCGTGGGGAGGCTGGTGAGTAGGTAGGCCAAGGATGACATCCGTCTTGTTGATGATTTGATTCCGTTCCTGGAACAATCAAGATTTTTCAAGACACGGTATGTAAGAGCCATTGAATTCGCTTTCGGTTCCGTTAAGCTCTCTTCCACTTCCCTGGTACAGGCTCGACGCTGCTGTACGTACAAATAAGGTAGTCCCGATACGTTATCTTGGCATTCTTGGCCAGTCCACCACCAGTGACCTTGGTAATCTTCCGAAGCACAACTGCCCGCTCTGAGCTACGACACGGTTAGCTATACATAATTTCGTCAGCCTCGGCACTCCATAGAGGCCCTGCTCTTTTTTACCAGATGCTTGAGACGGTCAAAGACAAGCTTCGGACTGGGGATACCAGCCAGGGGAAATCGGATGTAGTAATGCAAAATAATCCAAGTGGAGTGTGGCCAGTAAGCATCAGGATCATTCCTAGCCGAAAAGAGCAGGTTGGCGACAGATGCTGAATGTATCAGAATTAGAAAATCTGGGCAAGCAACATCGACTTGGAAAGCTGAGCTGGCATCAAGGAACGGCCATTGCTTCACGTCGTCATGTCAGTGATGTAATAACTTAAACCTGTCCTACATTCTCCCTTCATCATGTCCAATGGTAACTGAGTTAAAGACACTCAGAATTGAGTACGGACGACGAGCCTCAAAGATGACCCTGGGACACATAGACTGCGTGCCTGATGGCTGTTCTCGTTGGCTCGGGTTGAATCCGCCTGCTTGTACGAAGTGATATCTGCACTCGCCGCATAACATCAATCGTCAATCTGACCGGTCAGGTAAGATATCGCTTTGGGGAGAGTTGCCAATGTTGCACAGACATATAATGCGGCAAGTGGGTAAGTAAGTATCTTGATGGCTTGGCTATCAATTCACGTTGAGAAAGTGGCATGACTTGTTGTTTATCACCTGTTTATTGACTTGGCTCCGCTAATAAGCTCCATCTTCCAGTACTAGAGAACTGCTACTGTTCACTGCCAGCTTAGATTACCCCACACCTAAAAACGTCCAAGTCAAAAACCTTCTGCCAACGTCTCGACAGCTGATTGTCACAAGCTGACCTAGTCCCTCAAGAACAGTGCTCTAACATGGATGTTATACATATAACAAGTCAGATATCGTACTTCGGCTACGGAACGACGGCGCGGCTCGACAATGCACAGTCAGTATTGTCGTCTCTCGCTTTGTTAGCTTCTTTGGCTCTCGCCTCTACCCTAGCCTCAGTTAGTACCCAGAGTATTTTGAAAAGCTATCGTGGACCCGATACGCCCTAATCGTATAGGACCGATTGCACATTCGGGGCATGGGTATTATTATCCGGTGGTATGGATCGATTTGTGGCTGGCCAGTGTCTATCGAGATCTAGCAACGCCAGGAAATAGTCCTGGCAGTCACTTGATTAGTTTAATGGTCTATCTAGACTTGGTAAGAAAGACCTTGTCGTATGTTTTTCGGACTGCAGGGACACATTGTCTATCCCATGGGGTAGTGTAGTCACTTCCCCGGACTTTGTATAGCTTGGCCTTCCCAATTCTCAACACATGGTTAAATGCTTGTTAGGTGAGTTCGCTGCCAACCTAGCATCTTTATTGGACAAAACCCGACTGTCACTTACCTGTCGGCCCGTTCTATGCTTTGCCGCCGGACTCTTCCCTTCTTTCTGTCTTCTTTAATATCGTGGAATGAGATCCTGGGCTGACGGATGCATGACCCGGCAGGCCAGCCAGTCAGGGCTTTGTGATTATCTTGTCCCAAGCTCGTTCAATATGCGGGGTGAAGAATATTTATCATCCCCAGACCAACGGCCAAATAGAGGGTTGCCAGATTTGCGGATATAATAGCATATTGACAGGGTTGAGGCCGTTGAAGGATGTAAATTTGTGTAACTGACTGCTGACACATGCGTCTGTCAGAGCCGCAAACCATCCTTTTCTGTCATTTCGCTTCGACAGTATGTTGCCAATCACATGATCTTCGCTTCTCGCACTCTTTTTGGAGAGTAAGGACCAAAGAGTCAAGCACTTATCGCTTACCAGTCGTACAACCGAGAATGACAGTGAGACTCGAGTGCTTATGAGGACACTTTCGATGATCGGAGAGACCCTTGTAGGGCTCATGGTTTGCTTCCTTTGTTGCTTTCAGTCTGAACTCACGGGATGGTATTGTGAGAGCACAAATAGTAAGTGCTATCATAAGTCTCTGCCTTGGAAGATAGTTACAGTAGTTTCTCTAAAGACTAAGAGTCGAGCACATGTCAAATCAACTGTTGGCCGAGAACGCATCGTTATGCTAACTCTAAACCTATGGCAATAAGCACCTCGCAGATTCGTGCATGTATTTAGTCTATGAATGATGACTTGCCGACAATCCCGAAGGAGGTGCAAGCTTAACATTAGTATTTAATCTATATGTAAGCAGACGCTTGGTTCATGGCCGCACTACGCCAGCTCTTTGAGCTTCTGAGCTAGAGTCAAAAATCCTTCATCATCCGCTGTGATCCAGAGATCGACCCATTCCTTGGCTTGCTGGTATCTTTCGTCGTCTGCTTCCCAATCCTCTTCCCGTGGCCGCTCGATATATATTGTCCTCAGACCACATGATCTCGCAGCAGCAAGATCGCTCAGATGTGCGGCAACCATAGCCACTTGATCAGGCTCCAATCCCAACTCCCGCGCAGCGCCAGTGTACACTCTTGGGTTTGGCTTGTAAGCTCCAAACTTCTCAGCTGAGAGGAGGTACTGGAAGCCCAAGTTTCCAAAGTCGTTCAGATCTCTGAGTAGTGCGATGTTGCCGTTGGAGAGCGTGCTAGTCTTGTACGTCTTGCCGAGCTTCTCAAGGCCATCCGAGGAGTCATCCCACGGGGTCAAGCGATGCCAGACTAGACTCAGCGACTTAATCTCAGAAGGGCTGTAAAGCTCGGACAGATCCCAGGCTTCTAGGAGCTCGATCAGGCTGTCATGGTGGTGTTGGTCGATGGTCTTCCATGTATGCTTCTCAGGATCAAAGCCATGAGTAAACTTGCCATATGATTTTCTCCACTCTTGAGCGAAGCGACCCCAGTCTTCTTCAGTGAGGTTCTGGATTCTGGTCTTGAGATCTTGGTCGAGATCGGAAGAGGTTTTGCGGAACGCTCGCAGTGTGAGTTCCTCGGTTACGGTTGAGCGCCAGTTGACGGTAGTGCCGAAAACGTCACAAGTGAGGCCTTTGACCTTGACCAGCGGCGAAATTTCTCCTGGAGACATACTGGACTTTTATTGGTAATGAATATCGTTGAGAAAGTTCGTTGTCTTTTTTTCGTTGTGCCGATCAACATTGAGTTGTGTGAACGATGACTGTATCCTCGGTATTGATTGAACACTACCTATTCAGTGTCACATGATACCGTCCGCCCTTGGGGTGACAAGAGAATAAGAGGAGTTTGCGGAAAATAACTACATTTGAAAAGCATCGTATAACAGTGATTTAATACTGACAAACAATGATGCGCGATTCACTTGTTCGATCAAGTTGGCGATGAGTGACCGAGGTTATTGCAAGAAAGTGTAGGGTATTTCCGCTCAAGTTCTGACGACCAATGCCATCTGTTCGATTGTTACTCAAAGTTAGTCTTTAAGTGATGGATTTAACACACAATTCCTCTAAAAGATGACAAGAAATGAGACGGTCATGTTAGAGAAAAGACCAAGTTATTACATCGTACCAAAAGCAACCCAATTTGTTCCAACATAGGTAGATCAAGCAAACGCCACACAACGAGATATCTACAACGGACATGATAAGAAACAGAAGATAAAGGAGATTGTACTATGTCGACTTAGTAGAAAAATGCATTGTATTTATGTATGCCCAAGAATGATGTAGGATCTCAACTTGGAAAGCTCTCTATAGTACAACTTTACCATAACCTGCATTTAGTTTTGAATATGTATTCAGTGACCACCGTCTTAGAAATACATGTTTCCACCGCAAGTACCTTGGAATTACGTGAAAAAGACAAACTCGTTGAACGCTAAAAGACAAGACTTCTGCCTGGTTTTCTCGGTGAATCGGACAAACATCAATAAGAGCCAGGGCTACTTTCGCTATGTGACCGAATCTAAGAAACAGGCAGTCCGGAAACGCCACATGACCAGTCTATTAAAACTAGATAATCAATTATGATTGAGATCATACTCTGTATGTGACTGCTATGTATCTATACGTAGTATCACAGTATCGTGCAGGATAGGTTTCATAACACTATCACAACGCAATGGTACTCAGCCCCATGACAACTCCGAGCTGCATACTCAGGCGCTACGCAGCACGAGCCATTAAAAACACGATGTTGATGTCTTTCAAGCATCATGCCTGCGCCATATGATCAACGTAACTTGTGGCTGTTACCGAAGAGAATCCTAGACATTGTGTCTACGAGGTCTCAGTATGAGTCGTTGACATTCAATGCCTTGTCGACGAGCATCAGCCCATAAGAACAGAGAAAGGGGCTCCAAGGCAGCCATCACTTCGAAGTTGGCAAGCCTCAGTCTGTTCAATTTTTCTTAGATAGTTTGTACAACGTCGTGTGATATGAACAGTCCCTGTCCTGCAACTGAAGATCTAACAGCCCCAAAAGAGCTCCGGAAATGAGTATGGATACAACCGCCATTTGAATGGCCTCGAAATGGAAATGTTTAAAGTACCATATAAATAGTTTGCAGACCACGACTCGTCGTTTCCCGCCTGCATATGCAGCCATCGGGGAATGTTCCGGATGGCACTGTATTCGGCTGTAGCTATGTTTACACACCCAATTGACCCAGTGCCTCTACTAATACGTCCATCTCGTATGAGGACCCTGCAAGACTCATGCAACTTGATCTGGAGGACGAGGCGGGAAAAGAGGTCTGTGATTTTGCACAATTATCAATAAGTGACACGGTTGTCCGATAGTTTGAGAAGAAGAAAAAACAATATCCCGCTTGACCGAGCCCCACGAAAGAATCACTTCTGGGAGACAACAAACCCCATGTAGTTCTCAAGGCCAAGCTCAATTTAGTGACAATATTGAGAGGCCAGGCACTCATGCATGCTCGCTCTCCCTATTATGACCTGATTGCTAAGAAGTTAATCGAGATATTGAGTTATAACTACTTTCAATTCGAAACAGTTTTGGAGTCACCTACGCGCAATATGAGGAACCAGCGCATCCACTGTGATTTCAACTATCGAGGCATCATGCAATACTGGCCCATATCAATCAGATCAGAGTGGGTTGTCAGAGTGCTTTGACTTATATGAGTGCAGTCAACAAACTTAAATTCGAGCATGCCCATGCGTTAGCCATGTAGTTTGGGCAACGGCGGCCGTGCGTCGTTTCATATATACTGAACTACCACATTAGCTTTATGAGTTTCGATATATGAGAACTCCTTGGCCTTTAGAGTCAGCAAAAGCAGCTTGACCAAGAAAATGTAGGCTATGACTTTGGAAAGCCGTCTGTATCATATATCCGAAAGATTCGAAAAGTCATCCTCGTGTCATCTTCCTGCAAGCTGCTTTTTATTCCAACACCTATGCGCTGCAAATGCAATACCGTTTGCCAGTCAGTTGCTACACTCTCGGCCAAAGTCACAATGAAAGAAACAAGGGGATTGCGAGAGGACTAATCTTCCTAAGAAGTTCGAAGTCTTAGATTAGTCTCCTATTTTGTTATAGTGTCTGCATGCTGTTCGTTTTTGGTGTTGGGGACGGTGATGTTCAGTAGTAATGAGGCCGTATAGATTGTCACATATCAAGAGAGACGGATCCAATCTGACCGTATTTTTGGCATTTCTTCATGATCGTTTGCTCCGCGACGTGCGTTACAATTGAGATCTTCGGTACTGTCCAGCACGGTATTCGTGTCAACATCTAACGGCCCTGCATGCACTTTGCTTTTTTTGCGACGTGGCTTGTTGACTTGCACAAGCCAAGTCAAGTTATATGAAAGTACGAATAGAAAGAAGGTTAAACCAACACGTAGTGTTCAACAAGTAGCGCAATGTTGCTTTTCTGTTCTTCCGATCCAGCCAAGAGACAATATCTTGCTTATGTACCTGTGCGCAACTATTAGCTGCAGGCACGAAGAAACCACTTCCTCTCATCCTTACTGAAGACAACGAAGAGAGTAGAAGAGTAAAAGAGACAAACTACGGATATAGAGCGACAGAATGTATAGCGTTTTTGGCCGATGCTGTTAGTCAAACTCTCCATGAGGCGATGATAAAGCCGAGTGTTTCATGTGGCACCTTAGTAGTGCATGGGCCACGAGGGGGATTTACATGCACGAACCATCCTATCGGCGTCATGAACCAACCCCATAGGAAATCTTGGAGGATTCATGTCTTGACATTCAGGTGTCACTGCCGCTCCTTTGACAGGACATACACCTTTGTTGGCTATAAACCGCGTGGAGCTAATAACGGAGATGACAGAACTCTTCGCGGGAACAGTGCTGGTGGCTCGTCAACTAAGGATTATTCATTGAGGCCCAAACGGGCCGCGCCTCAACTAGTAAACGGCGAATGGGGCATGTTTGATGAATGTGGTGCTTCCCGACTCCCGAGAGTGGAAATTTGTTCGAACCACCGTACCGGTTGTTTCCATAACTCATAGCCCATCGATCGCGCTGTAAGCTAGTCATGCTTGTTTGCTGTTAGCATCAGACGCCAGTGTTTGGGCATTGAGAGAAGATCAGATCGTCCTATAAACGTGGATTGTGCTTCCGGTTCGGTCCTTGCATTTGAACCATTCTTATGAGGGAACAAGCGCCTTGTTTGGAACACCGGCGGCCGAATGACGACCGGGGAGCTCGGTAGTTTGGATTACTGGACGATCTTTGCTTTCATAGGAACTGCATGTTTCTCACAGCTAGCCTCAACGTTGGCAACGTAGCGTCGATGCCCAACGAATTGAGAGGGAGACCGATCCAAGGAAGGCACTAGACCGGTAGAAATGAACGGGCGACTGGGATAAATGCATGCGAATCCTGCTTATGAACCTGTTGGTATCGATTGTTTCGTGGTCGGTGTCCTTAGGATGGCCGACGGTAATTTAGTAAGAAACAAACTTGACTTAGGAGCGGTGATAATCAAATTGAGTGCATACGAAGTGGAGCGGGAGCGAGGTAGGGCCCTGAACAGCGTCTGGGGTACAGCTCGGTAAGAGATTGGTGCACATGCATGTGAATAGTCGAATGCTGTGCATGCATAATGGGATGACCGAGGTGCAGGTAAACGCAACAAAACGCAGGTCGAGATGCGTCTTGTTTTGTGTTAAAGGGATGTATGCGGGGAGTGAAACTGCTAATCGCGATACCGGAAGTCTTCTCACCGTGTTTCAATGGAGCTGATTGAGGAGCCCTTGCTTTCGTGACAGCCATCGAACAGCAAGATTGTCTTTTCTTTCTTACATCTCGGCAATGTTATCATTGCATGGGGTTGGTTGGTTGTGTTCAGGGGCAAAATGATCGCTTGCCTCGTTTGCATGCGCACGTCTTTGACAGCTGAGAGAGTAACCCTGACTGTGACAGGGCCTAGGCTAATTGTGGCATACGCATGGAGTTGCATCCCCGAGATCGTAGCCTTGCTTGCCAGTTTGCCTCTAGAAAAGTGGTTCGTGCACTGCTTGTCCTGGAGGCTGAAGTACCGGTACCAGAACGCTGGACCAGGCGTTAGATTCGCTAATAACAAAAATAGAGCTAGCTTCGGAGCAGATTTTGTACAGAGCAGCGCCCATGTCTTTGTGTAAGCAGATCCAGCTGTCGCATGGCAATAGACGAAGCATTATCCATACACTTGTGTATCGACATACTGGCATGTAGGAAGCTGTTGGGAAAATCAACTTTATCCAGAAATGTGGAAGGTCAAGAAGAATGATCAATCCGGAGAGGAGCCCCATGTTGTTATGCTACCGATGATTAACGGCTCCATTGTGCCGTTCTGGGCTTTGAGATAATCTGGGTGTGATTGTCGGGGATTGCATCTCAAACCATAAGTTCATCAGCATCAGCATCAGCATCATCATTATTGTCATGATGAATGAGAGGAGAGGAAATTGCGCCTCCGGCGAGACCAACACGAGAAGCCTGGAACTTCCTATTCGACGGCTCATTAACCAATCCTTGGGAATATGCAGGACCGATATTGCGGAACCACAAGGGCCCCTGGCTTATGCATTAGCCTTCCCGGGGAGCGTTCTTTAGCGCATTCCAAAAGGGGGACAGACGTTGTTGTCTCTAGACTCTTTGAGAGGCATCGATAAAGATTATCATCAGGCGACTGCAGAGATTTCCTGGTTTTTGTTCGATTACCTTGATCGACTTTGGCCTCAGGCACCAACGCTCCATTGAACGGAACATGTTGAACCATCACTCCTGCCCTCGTCTCGGTACAAATTGAGTTAGCAGTCAGGTCAGGCAGGAGGACCTGTCAAAATGTGAACTCATGGAAGGCCTCAGTCATCAAACCCCTCAATGACCCCATCAACATCAACATCATCTGCATCTACCACACTTTAAGCACATCCTTTGACAAATCATTTGCCTTTTCTTCTTGTTGTTTTTCCAAGGACCCATTTCATCGACCAGGATGGCCAAATGGAATTACTATGTGCCGTCAATTACAGGCCCCGGTCTACCTAATCCTAATCACTCGTCACTTCCACAATTGATTGAATGCGACGTGCCTGGCCAGATTACCAGGGTGGAACTCCCACAGAGCGGCTAAACTCGATTGGATATCCTTGGTAGGGACGGGTCGAATCGAAAGAGGCGTCGACGGTCACTATTCTACAGAGAGGACCGCACGGAATGGCGCAAAGCCGGCTACAGGCGATAATAAAGCTATTCAAGTTAGTTCAAAGCTGAAAGAAAACGACAACAAGAACTGTTGGTTGACATTGCTCCAAGCCCAATGAAGACATCTTGTAAGTATGCCCAATGTTAGCTCTCCTCTGATAGAACACTCATGAGCACCAACAATTTTGGAAATGATGGACATCTTCGGTACCGACGCTGTTGTCCCTCATTTAGCTCACCAGTCGAGTGAGTAAGCCTCGTCAACCCTTAATCAAAGACAACCAGGTCCCTGGCCTGGCTCCACCTCCCGCCGTCTAACAAGATCACCATTCCCTTTTTGCTCAAAGTTTGCGAGGGCCCATGTCATCGCTCCAGGCATGTGCTAGGTTGTTTTCGCTAGAGAGACATCCCTCATCCGTTGGTGTCGACAAGGCTCTGCTCTATTGTCATTAGCAATTGGACTGTTCAACTGAACGCCTCATAAGTGGATATAACTCAACAGGGACATGGTCGTCTGCGCCGCGTGGGCTCTAATCACACTTGGTCCTAGGAACAGCCCGCGTCACTACTACCTACCTCTTGAACCCTCGAGATTCTTGAGCATACCTTCATCATTCCTTATCTCTCCTTTCTCGCCATCAAGCTCCTCACTTTTGTGTTGGTCTTTGTCTTCCATTGTTTCTGCCTTGCCACTGCTAGTGCTGGTACTGGCTTTCATATCGGCATTCTCTTCTTTGTATCGGGTCACTCATTGCACTTTTACTTTGTCTCCAACCTTTTTGACAGTCAGTCCTCACTGTAGTAGGTGTCATGGCATTTCGTTAGCTCTACATGTGAGCAGTGAGGTTAATTCAAAACGCCAGTTGTCTGCGTTCCCTCAAGTTGTAAGTCAATGCCGGTTTCAAATCACTCCCGTTGACACATATACTACATTCTACCATGAGTTGAATATGCATTGCGCCTGGCCCAATCGCATTGTTGTTTCTGCAAAGTTAGAGAGCTAATAAATTTATGCGTAGCCATGATACGATCCATGAACAAAACGGCAAGCTTAGTGGCATTGAGACTATTCTCTTCGAGCCACCAACTTTTGTGAACTTTTGAGATCTTTGATATTCTATCCAGTATAGTTCTATCTATAGGTTTGTTCTCATTCTACATCCCTGGAAACATTTGCAATAACTGATCACATACTCTAGAACACAATACTGCGCCGACACGGGTTATCTTGAGCAGGGCACAGCACTGGACCTGCGTCGAGTTACGCAAGTGAACAGCAATTTTTTTCTTCCACGGCAGTATCTTAGATCTTCACCATGGGCGTTTGGGAGACAGATGATGAGTATCTGAGCGGGCCGGCTGCTACTTCGCTGCCGACCCCTTTGGATACTCCCTACCGAACACCTTCAAGGACATCAAAAAAGTCACGGCGCTCTGTCACACCACCAGGACCAGATTCTTCTCCTCCTCAACTACCGAATGATATGGGCTCCAAAAGATCATCCAGGAATGTCACAACCGATGAAACGATCAGCATACTGGACCCTCGACGATTTACTCCCACCTTGCATGCCAACTTAGTATCCGAGATTTTGAACCTTCGTCGAGATCAGGACGAGAAAACTCGACAGATTGAAGCACTCGAAGCATCTCTGCACGCGATAAAAGAGGAGAAGGACTCGCTGAAACAGAACCTCACCGAAACAGGCAAGGAAAGCAGATCTCTCAAGCGACAACTTTCTCTCCTGGAAGGTGGATCTTCCTCAGCACTAAGAGAGTTGGCCCGCGAGAAGGAAGATGCTGTTGAATCTGTCGCTGATACAAGAAAGCGACTGGAAACTCTTCAAAAGAAGCTTCGAGTCCAAGAAGAGGATTCGGTCAGAGTCCACAATCTATGGGCTCAAGAGAAGGAAGGTTGGGAGAACGAACGACGGAAGTTCGAACATCGGCTTCACGTCGCGGAAAATCGCCTACAAATTGTTCTCAACGAAGTCGCCGCATACCAACAAACCCAGTCGAAGAACACACATGCTGGGGCGATTCCTGGTCATGATAGCGAAGCTGAGGAAAGTGGTCGCGAGAACGATGGTGCAAGCATCAGAACTATGAGCATGACCAATAGTGTTCGGTTTTCCGTGACAAGTGGCATTGGAGTGTTGAGAATGAATGGGAACACCTTGGCTGATGAACTGAACTTTGACGATGAGGACGAGCAAAGTGACTTCGACAATGGCCGGGAAAGCGCCATGTCAAACTACGCACCGTCTTTCCATGCACGAAATCTCAGCCGAGACAGCCCAGTAAAGCGATTCCATGCTCGAAATCAGAGCTTGGAGAGTATCAAGAGGACAGGAAGCGTAACTCGCGGCCGACTTTTTATGAACGATCCCGTACCAGAAGCTTTGGAGGATGAGGAGAATGAGAATGCGACTCTTTCTGTTGTCACAGCGCCCAAAGTTTCGTACGTCGACAGTGGGATTCAATACTCGCCACCACCTTCGCCTAAGCTGTCTCCTGTGAAACCTGCGACACCCGAGCGTCTGAATCGTACCAAACCCTCAGAAGTTGAGTGTTCACCTAGAGATGGCGAGATTGAAGCCAACCAGCGCCGCAAGCGTGTTCGCCCATTCAGTTTCGAACCTTTAGCGACTCGTGAGGTTATGGTCTCAACTGCTGTTCAAACGAGCGAAGAGCCATTAATACCCCCCATGACGCCCAAATCGCCTACTCGCCCACCTCCACCACCTCCAGTACAGCCTCCCGTGGTAGAAAAGCCTCTTATGGTTGCGTCCTTTACGCAGACTGATAGTCCACCTACTCACCCATCTCCTGCAGCACCCAGTCGCTTGCCATCCCCTCCCCCACTTGCAATTCCAAGTATTAGCGTTCACCCCCCAAGCAGTCGCCCCAGCACACCCAGAGAACCTCGGTTACCTGTTCTTCATAAAGACTTTGGCTGCCAAGTCAAGTTATCTGAGCCAACATCAAAATCAACAGCTGAAGTAGCCGTACAAACAGAAGGCATTCAGACAGACAAGCGAATGGCTTTACTTCCCGCTCATCTTCAGCCATCTGCTATTTCCTCGCGGCCTTCTTCGCCCAACCCGTCTGGCATTGACGTAACAAAGAACTTTACACCGGTCCCCGGCAACGTGCCGCCACGAAACCCGCGTCGATTGGGTAGGCAGAGCTTCAGCGACCAACCCTCATCCCCGATATCCTTACCTGAGGAGGACTCGTTTCATGATATATATCCAGGAGGCAACGATGATGGCCCCCTTTCTAGCCAAAGAGCTCCAATGAGACGACCACCTCGTTTTAGTAGTCTTTTCGCTGGGTTTGATGGTGGAAGCTCTGACGAAGCGGATGAGTTTGGCGATGCCGATTTGAGTGATTTGGAGTATCGAACGGCATTATCTGCGCCTCGACCCAAGTCCATTTCGAGTCGTTTTGGCAAGCGTAGCTCAACTGGAACCACAACCACCATCGGTACCATCCCAACATCTCCTGAGCAGATTATGGTGCGTCAAGGACCTCGAGTTACCACAGAGTTTCACCAACCCTTCACGGTCAAATCTGGAAAAGGTTTGGAGAAGAGCCCTGTTGCCATGCCACCCAATCGAGCCAGCGTCATGCGCAAAGCAGCCATGATACAAAGTGGTATTGCTAGTCACCAGGGCCGGCCAAGGAGCCCCAGCCTGACCGACACCAAAACTCCTCCCCCATTCCCTATTCCTACCAGAGCTAGCTCTAGAAACGTTCCAACAAGCACGAGTGCTCCTAGTGATGGCCAGAGAAGTCCAACGCGGGGCGATTTCTTCCAGCGTCGTGGATCAGGCCGCATCCATCGGGCTGGCAGTGTTCGAAAAGTCCGTTCTGCCGCTGCATTACCCCGCCATCAACGACATCGCAAGCAAGATAGCCGGTCAACTGCTCCATTGTCCCCTTCCACCGAAGCCCCTGAGAGTCCGGGCCTTCCTCCCCTGCCTAAGAACGACATTACAACTCCTCGCGCTCGTGCTCACCATAGTGGTCAGTACAGGCACCAGCACAAGCTCTCCACTAATACGGACAACACCTTCAATACCTACAATACTGGAAACACACTCAATACATCCAGTACCGACCCACCTTCCACGCAGAGCGCTGCCCAAAACACGAGTGTAGTGGACGCTATTGCTCAGACCATGGTTGGCGAGTGGATGTTCAAGTATGTTCGCAGAAGAAAGTCTTTTGGTATGCCCGAAAACAACGGCAAGGATGATACTGGCAACGATCGCCACAAAAGATGGGTTTGGCTCGCCCCTTATGAGCGAGCTATTCTGTGGAGCAGCAAGCAGCCAGCCTCCGGAAGCGCCCTCATGGGCAAGGCTGGTCGAAAATGTAAGTGACTTTAGTTCTGTTCATGAGAATACCGCTAACGAATACAGTGACAATCCAATCCGTACTCGATGTTAAGGATGACAACCCTCCACCAAAGGGGGTGGCATCAATTTTCAACCGATCCATTTTAATTTTGACACCGCAAAGGGCTTTGAAGTTCACAGCCGACTCTGCTGAACGACATTACATCTGGTTAACAGCCTTATCTTTCCTCGCACACTCGTCTCAAGCCGTTCCTGAAAACATCTTAGCGCCGCCAGCAGTCCAAAATACACCGATGCCTGAGTTTGAAGCACCCCAACCAAAGTTGAAGCGTGGTGGTATAAGAGACTCAATCCGCCTTGCCAAGGGACGCACGGTTGGTCGTGCTGTACCACCCAGTGTTCCCAGTATCCCCAGCATTCCAAGTGTGCCATCTTCACAGGTGGGGGACATGACGAACTTCCCAACGATTGAACCTGCTGGAGGATTCACAAGTCGAGATGATTCGATAGATGCAGCACAACCCCCATTGATACCACGCTTCCATGATCGCAACCAAGCCGCGGCTCATGGTCGCAAGCGGAGCAACACAGGTGGCCATGTACCACCACCACTTTCTTTCCGAGGGTTCTCTGGTCCTATCACGGGTCACCAGTCGACCAACAGCACCACCGATCAGAGTATTGGGACGGCAGATTCTGATATCTACCAGTCACACACATCAAGTAACGGAGCATGGGCAATGAGCCAAACGGGCTCACACCAAGCATCAGAAGCTTCATCTCATGCAGGCAACTTCTTTGATGCTATCGGTACCGTGCGAATGGAGGCTTTCATTAGCCCATTGGCATTCTCTCAAATCAACAACTATCCTAACGAACAAGACCAATTCCGGCACTCACTTCGAAGGCGAAGCAAGGAACAACGAAGACGAAGAAGTCGAAGCCGACACCGAGATAGCTACAATTCTCGCAGCACCCGTACAACAAACGACGACTACTATTACGGAAGTAGAACAGCTGGAGAGGAAGACTTCTTCCGCGATGACCCTTTCAAGGGATTCTAGTATATACATTACATGATTTCACAGTAGCCACGACGGCAATCATTACTTTCATTATTTTTCTTTGTTTTCTTTCTCAATCACCTTGGATAAGGAAGAGTCACAGGCGGATATTATACCCTTTTCTATATAACAATTTTGGGATGGGTTGAGGGCGGCCTCAGAGCTGGCCGGCACTCGCTATGGAGTTTAGGTTTCTTTCTTTTACTGAAATGATGTTACAGTCATCAAAAAGTTGGAAGGATACATAGGCCCTTCCGTCATTGCTCTGGTCAGAGGTTTGTCACAACCCTGGCGAAGAAGATTTTTGCCTACAGCGAAAGTTGCTGCAAGGCCACACATAAGTTCGATCCTGCCCCGAAGGCCAGGTACAGTTGGACTTGAAGAATTAGATAGTAAAAATATAAATGAAGACCAGGCATGGCCTGTTTCAATACAAACACTCCTGTCCATTGCTGTAGACGCCGCTCACAGACTGAGCCATAGGACTTGATGTCAAAGTATCCTGTACCTTGTATGTAAGTTGGATTTCTCTGATATGTACATGGCTGAGTCCCACCACATATGGTGTATTGTATGAAGTAAAGCTGTCAGTAGAATCAACGTCATCTTTAATTTAATAAATGCCCCACTGATGAGTTTTCCCACTACCCCGCGGTTTGCTGCACAGCTCTCCAAGCTTCAATGCTTTCTGAACAAAGTTCTTCCTCTTTGGCTTCCTGACGACCGGGCCAATTCTTTCCAGGTCTCCACGATTTACCCTATTAAAGTCTTAAATTTCACCGAGGCTTGTACTACCTCTGACGATATCACGAGCCCATCATGGACAACCCCGCACCCATAGAAACCCTTGAGCAGATCCAGACGCGGCACCGCCGTGAGCTAAAGGATCTGCAGGGTCGCATAACAGGAAAGAAGAAGAACGCTACCAAAAAGACTCGGAAGGGCGTCAATGATGAGTGTGCAGAGATGGAACGTCAGCTGAGAGACAAGCAAGCCGCTGAGATCGCTGCCTTGAACCCGAGCGAGAGCACGAACAATGACAACGACAACGACAACAAGGAAGACGATGCCGTTCCCCAGGTGGAGGACAAGCCAGAGGAGGATAGGCTTGTCAAAGAGGCTCAAAAACCTAGCCTTTCGCAACCAGTAGAACATCAACAGCAACCTGGGAAGAAACGCAATCGCCAGAAGGAGAGAATGGCTCGACGGGCTGCTGAGCAAGAAGCCGAGGCACAGCGCGCAGAGGATGAAGCATCCAGCATGACGAATTACCGGGCAAAAGAGAGCGAATATATGAAGACGATGTTTGAAAAGCACGGCCTGGTAGAGCAGGACATTGCACCGGATGGACATTGTCTGTTTTCCGCGGTTGCTGATCAATTGGGACAAAACGAAATTCCGCTTAGTGATGGAACTACACAAGAGCCGGCTTATAAGACAGTACGACGGGTTGCTTCGAATTACATGCTGGAGCACGGAGACGATTTTGCTCCGTTCCTTGAAGAAGATCTCGAAGGCTATGCTCGCAAGATGAAGGATACTGCTGAATGGGGAGGACAGCTCGAGCTCATGGCACTGGCACGACAGTACAAGGCAGAGATTCGAGTGGTGCAAGATGGACGCATGGAACGCATTGGCGAGGAAGAAGGGACCAAGTCGGGAAAGACACTATGGCTGGCATACTACAGGCACGGCTACGGATTGGGAGAGCATTATAACTCTCTTCGAAAAGCATCATGATGGGAAGGAAAACAGAAGATCGCTTTTTTTCTTTTGTGTACAACGGCGACAAATCATATGCGACGGCTGTTTGGTATCGAGACGTAAAAGAAGCTTCGGTCACCGAGAGCACTCAGTTTGGCTATCGGCTCCACACAGAGAGGAAGTCCATCACTACGCCTTCTGGATTTGTGCCGGCCTTGTGCGTCCTTGTTGGTTTGAGAAGACTCAGTCGATGTAGGGCGTCGGCCCAAGGTTTTGAGCAGGGATCCTCGTGGACGGTACCGTCGTCGTTGTATGCAATTTCTTCGCCCGGAGCTGCCAAAAGGGCTTCGTAGAGCTCCGGAGAGACGCCCCAAGGGGGACCGTTGGCGGACATGGGTTTCGTCGAAGGGAACTCGAGGCAGATGAGACGGCCATCATGGGAAAGCAGCTCTGTCATGCGCTTGGCCCATTTTGGTCTTGCGTCTGGGGGCAGCGCGCACAGGAACTATAGAGTTAGTTAGCTTACCAGAGAAGAGCGGCAGCGCCCAGAATCTAGAAGTTCCGGGGTCAAAGGATGCAGAATTACCGTATAATCGTAGATGAGATCAAACTTGCCGTCATCACCGACACTCTTGGACCAATCTTGCTTGAAGAAATCGCCGGTGATCCAGTGAATCTTGCCCTTATCCAAGCCGTCGACAGGCTTGTAAAGACCTTCTGATTCGGCTTGTTTTTGGTTCTTGATGGCTTCCTCTTTCGCAGCAGCGCTATAGTCGAGACCCCAAACGTCGTAGCCCCACGAGCTCAAGAGCAGAACGTCATGACCACGGCCGCAGCCGGGCACTAGAGCGGTTTTCTTCTGGATAGCACCCGCAGAGTCCCGGAGAGGATGTCCGCGATGGTCTTGGTGCTGAGAGGGCGGCACAAGGTCCGGTCTTTGGGCGAGGAGGTCGTGAAGGGCGATGGAGGCGGTACCGCGATCCCAAGGTGTCAAGGCATCTTGCCAACAGCTATCCCATTTGGGACCTTGTTCCGCGAAGGGAACAGAGGAGATGCGATCCTCCAAGGGGTTTTCGGTAGCCATTGGTGTCTGGGTGAACGGTATGCCGGGATTGTAGGGCGGTGAAAAGGTGTAGGAATTAAAATTGCTCGACCCGGGACACGAATTCGAATGTTGAGATAGCGCACGTTATGGAGGTGAGGGGGAGGGTCTCTCCGGGTCGGGCGATGGACCTACGGATGGATCGATCAGTTCTGATCCAATGGTGGGGTTGTAATGACGAAATAAAGATGTTTGTGGGGGTTATAAGTCGGTATATACCGTATATACCGTAGATATTGTTTGATATTTTGTTAGACTTGATATAATCAATCTGAAGAGAGATCAAGAAGTAGTCTACATGTACTGGAGTCGAAATGTTAGAAAAGACGAAGGAGAAGAAAAGAAATAAATTTGTTCTGGTCGCGTGCTTTTTTTGTTCAGCCTTCGGAAAGAGTGACACGCTCTCCTTCGTACGAGCATCCGGAGTGCTTATCTAGCGTATACGCTAAGATAAATTGGCAGGCATAAACGGGGGTTGATATTCGAGAGCGACTTCCGTTTACTATCAAACGTTTATAAGGAAGGAACTATGCTCTGTAATACGCTGTTGAAACTGATAAAACGGTTGCCGGTTTGACATGTGAAGTAGATGGTGGGGCTTGCAAACGGTCGTACCTAATGTGTCAGTCTTAACTCTGCTGGCTTGACATGCCGATGACCAAAATCATGATCACATAATCAGATCACTACATGATTCAATAAAGTACAGATCGAGAGAGACGCAAAGAGTCAGGTCTGACCTGCATCATATGCACATGCTGTGCCACAACACAACGCACCTTGTACAGCAAGATCTGCTCACGACACCAACTAAACACCAGCATAGCTCATCGAAACTGTGCAGAAGCAGTTGGAACACTAAAATAAACATACAACTAACAGATACAGATACATACGCATACACATACTCAAATACACGAACCAACATGCGTCCTACCATCAGCTCGCCATTTCAGCCTCTCGTTTACCCGTAGCAAAACCCTCCTTGAACTTGTTCTTTCTGAGTGTCATAGCTTGGATGAGCGCGCTCCATCCTCGAGGACTTTCACCTCCCTTTGAAGCACCACCATGCCTGCCACCTCCAAGTGTCCAGAGAAATGTGGCAAAGAACTTCTCACCCTCGCCTGGCGGCTCTCGAGAATCGCTTGACTCAGGCGTACCCTCTCTGGAAAATGAATCTCGAATATTCCTCCATTTTCCAACTTTTTCCTTCGCACTTCCCATGAACCGACCCACAGTTGCGCCAGCAGATGATTCCGAGGTCTTCAAAGGCTCTGCCTCTGTCGACTTGATAGGGACATCATCCATTGCTTGAGGGACAGCAGTCTGTGCGATAGTCGAATCCATTTGAATGCTGGCGGGCCCGTTTTGTGTACCCACAGAGCCTTGGAGCCCTTGGATAGAAATGTCGAACATGCTTTTGATTCTCTTTTCTGCCTCTTGCGACACCACCATTTCTCCGTCCTCTTTCTGACCAGCCTTCAACTCATAAGCAGGCAGCTGAACAAAATCTTCCATCACTTTGAGCGTGGCAATGAGAACATCACCTGTTTGATCATAATACCATTCTTTATGACCTCCGCCACAAGATGCGCATTCGGGAACTTTGAGGTTGTGATTTCCAAGGAATATATGCGCTAGATGTTCGGCTTTCTCAGCGCCAACAAAGTCAGTCTCGGATTCATAGATGACCTTGGTGTTTTTTCCATAGCAATTTCCGGGCTGATTTTGTCTATTGACGGCATTATGTCCAGTGTATCCGATTTTGAAGACTTTTTCGTTTTTGGTGTGCTGCAAGACATATACAACGCCATGTTTCCGCAGCCTCAGAGTAGGGGGAGTGGTGAGAGCTTTTAGGATGGGCGAGCCTCTCTTCAAAGTCCCCTGTCGATACAGTCGACCTATGCCGATACCCTCAAGATTGATTGGATGATCGAGAGGGTCATCTTCAACCTCGAGGGTATTTTCTTGGCGTGCTATAACATCAGAAGCCGTCTGTTCGGCAACAGGCTTTCTATCAGGGATGACGGAGAGCCTCTCTGATATTCCCTGAAAAGAAAGCTCATCGTCCTTTGAGATGCTTTCTGCATAGGCTTGCTTGTCATTAACGGGTGACCTGTCTGAGGTTGAGTAGGTATGGCCAAGAGACAAGGTCGAAATATCTTTCGTGATGGTATTGATGTTGGAGTTGTTGTTTGCCACAGACGAGGGGGTCTTGCTAACCGCCCCGGATGAAGTGTCTGGTATAGAACTGTCAAGGATGCGAGCCGGACCCTCGATTGGAGTTCTGACTGAATCGGCTTCAGTAAGAGGAGTAGGAAAGGGTGAGGTGTCGCTGAGGCAAGAAAGATCGAATACCTCTGGCTCTGGTGTCCCCGGCTGTGATGTATCGTCTGAATCCTCTATCAAAACCCTGTTGGGCTCTTGGGCCCCAGATGGAGCCTGGGTCAAGTTGGCATCCATGCCGTGCTTCTCTTTCCACTCTTGAAATAAGGGCAGAGCGAATTTGAAGTGCTGACCACAATAAACGAGTTGAAGCAATTGCTCAACCTTTGGGTAGAAAATGGCAATATCTGGGCATGTCTTCGTCTTCTCAATATCCAACCAAAGGGCTATGGCTTCGTCTACCACGCCCGTCCGCTCACGACGACAGCGGTTATTGCTTTTTGTTCGCCATCGACATTTCTCGAAATCAGAATTTTCTTCGGATTTCGGAAAGAAGACGATGAGCTCTCTCAGCCATGTGAAAAGAAAATGCTCAGAGGCTTGAGGAGTGGCCATATTGAAAGAGACAACAGTGAAAACAAGATTGATACAGCCAACTCGACTTGACGAGAAGACGAGCCTGTCTCTACGGTCTATTAATCATTGTAAATCGGGTGGCTGATAATTCCATCTCTCAGGGGTGTTGAGAAAGGATCGCATGGGACTCGAAACTCAGCCTCGAGGATACCCAGAGGAACGTGGTGTTGGTTCGACAATTTGAGTATTCGCAGCAAGGGTATGGTGATGGATGATATGCAGTTGGTTGTGCTTTGCAGACGGAAGGATTTCCCCGGATCAAAAGAGGAAATAAACTGTCGAGAGCTGAAGAGCGTTGAAACGCCAGGGGGCCAGTGCCAAGTATATTTACGGCCGAGTCTTGAGTCTGAACTCACGTCAAAGTCTACGTCTCACAGGGCTATCGTTTTCCTTGAGGATGGTTCTTGTGGTCAAAGGTTTCAGTTTATGTAAGATAGTGTGTGTGACAACCCACGTTTCTCAACACCACCTTGTTGTCAGAAGTAGGGTTACAGTGAGTTGCAAGATCCAGATAGACACGGAGTTGACCGATACGTAGCACTGAGCCTTGCTGAATGGTTTTGCTGTGCCGTCGATGAGCTTTTGGGAGTGCGTGCGGGGGGCCTCATGTCGAGCAGGGTTAGGCTTAGGCTTGATTTGGGGGGAATCCGATAAGGAACTTTTGTGATAGATCTCGATGTTTTCTCGTTTAGTTTGTTATCTCATGACTTTGAAGAGTTGTGATGGAGGGGAGACTTGGACTTTTATGCTATTTGGTTGTAGCAGACGTCGGAAACAGAAATGTTGACTTCTCAGCTTTAGGGCAAAAAAGTAAGCAGCTAGCTACATCCTATATACGAATGAACCGACTTGCTAATGTGTTCTTTATCCTGCGGCCAACTTTTTTGATACCCGGAGGACTGCATACGAAGTAGTGCTTGTACTGTAACAGTTAGTGATTTGGTAGTCGTTGTTATTTTATCGAAATATTTATCGGTTATCAAACTGTTTCAACCGCGGCAGTTGGCTGACAGCTGAATGCGTTTAAACAGTGGAGTGTATTGTTCTTAAGTACCCAAGATGCTGGGAATGGCCACGTGCATGAGGCACCTGGAATCTACTTCAAGTGCCGAAAGTAGTATCATTTACCTCGGAAGCACGACTCATCACAATCAAGGAATTCATGTTTGTGTGTGACTGTTTATCTCATTATAGTACTGCAAAGTATCTATCTAAGCAGCTCAGCTCATCCTGGCCGTGGCATTTTCGGCCTCATAACTAATAAAACATGATCCACCCCCGTGGTATAAAAAACGTTTGCCCATCCAGTCATTCATATATGTACTAGCAGTATGAATACATGGACACACATGCATATCTCATGTCGTTGCAGAAAGTGGAGTGTGTAATGGGGGAGGGAGAGAAAACAAGAAACGAACTAAACTAATGTATGGGGATCATTCATGTGCCTTCCATTTTTGTGCCAAAACGCCGAAACACCGGATATCCGCTATTGATACCGAAATGAGAAGGAAAAGAAGAAAGCAAGACCCGAAGAATGTCAAAAAAAGCAGGATATCAAGATAGAAGATGAACCAAAATGTCTTGGTATGACGACAACGTCCGGATGCGTCGTTGTTGGTTTGGTTGCTTGCGGAGAAAAAGCCGAGAATCGGGCCAAGATGGCGGCGGTTCATTCCGGGAATATAATGTCGATATCCAAACATTCCCGGCCCGACAAGATTAAAGAGAAGCTCAAGAAAGAAACGAACCGAGCCTTTTATCGGTCGGATGAAGAGCCGAATGGGGATAGAAAGGCATGGCCCACATGAGATGCGTGCGTGGTTGTGCAGTAGTCGTAGTCGTAGTCGGAATAGAGCCGAGAAAAGATGCCCATATCCATGTCTTTTTTTTCTTGATGGGGCCACTTTCCTACCATAACCATGATAGCAATGATGATGATGCATAAGAAAGTGGTGGTTGGAGGTGAGTGATATGAGAGAGACAAAGAATGTGAATATGGCCCATGGACGTCGTGATTGGTGAGGTGGGATAAGCCAAACATGCCACTGCTGCACATCTCCCCCCCCCCAATCAAGGTCTCTCAAGTGATTCGTCGAGTTGACTTTTGGTCGAGATAGGTATGGGTTTGATCATCTTTTCCCTTTCTTTCTCTTGTTGGATTGCATAGCCTGTTGTGAATTTACAGGCCACAGTCTTCAAAATCGCGAATCATGATGGCCATCTGGGCTCGCTTGGCAGCCTCGGCAATGAGTGTAAAGTCCTGGAGGAAAGGAGCGGTTGATGGGTTGCTGCCTTGGGTGGGAGCTGGCTGAGGGACCATCTGAACAGAAGGAGACTGCTGAGCCGAAGAGTTGGAGGTTGAAGGGGCATCCATTGTTAAGAGTTTGTTGGTAGTGATGGATAGATAGTGACGGACGTATATGAAAGCGAGTGATAGATTTGAGAGTAGAGTAGAATAGAGAAAAGAAAAAAGAAGTGGGAGGAAAGTTGTGGGAGTGGGAGGGAATATGTATTCGGGAGAGGCTAGGTTATTAGGCAGCCAAGAAACAGTGACAGCACAGCAAAGCAAAGCACAGTGTTGTATGTGTGTAAGGTATGGATGGATATGCGCATGCAACTTTGGTGCAAGGTATTATGTGTATGATGGTAGGCTTATAATTAGTCTGAGCGCGTGGGGTAAAATGACGGGGGATGTCACTCTTTTTGGTTTCCTTTCTTTTGGTTTGGTCCAGGAAGAATAATCTGCCACACACACAAAGCTGAAGTGAAGTCTGCAGAGTGACGTTTCTAGGTATAAGTTGGCATAAAGATGGTGACGTTGTTTGACGATCAAACCATCTAGAATCCTTCTATTTCCTTGTTGGTGTTGTTGTTGGTGTGGACGAATTCGGCTTTAGGCTGATGCCGCAACCAAGGCGATATATACATAGGCTAGACTTTTTGTTTTTTCCCCGTCTTTTGCATCTGCGCTATAGATAAAGGGCCGAGTGCCTGGGGACGGGTTACAAGACAGCGGTCTCAGTTGATCACGGTAGTAGTAGTAGTAGTAGTAGTAGTAGTAGTAGTAGTAGTAGACGGATGGAGTAAGACGGAAACGCCGAGAGTGTGGAGGAGGAGGACAAGAGTCAAGTTGAACTGACGTTAATTTATAAAAGTGGAGGATGCCGAGTTTTGGTTTGAAGAATGAGGCCGAGATATCATGCCACCATTGATCCATCTATCATATTACTTTTATCCGCAGACAAAGTAAACCCCCGATGTTGCATGCAGAACAAATGTTCCTACATATTCATTACCACTTCTAGATGTCTGCTTCTTTACTGTTACAGACTCATGTTGCACTCTACTGTACTGTAGCATGAAGTATCCATGAGTAGCTTATTACACGACAATAATCCCTCGGGCGGGTCCAAGCATAAAAAAGAAGCGCCAACGAAAACAAATAGAACATCCTTTTTTCCCCTTCTAAATCATCACTCGGCCTTATGCCTAACAACTGGGGTTACTTAAAGCTGTGGATCTGGGGTGGAAACCGATCTTGGAAGCGTTGGCCCATCACATCTCTTTAGCTCTTCTAGGTTTTTCCCGTTCTTTTTCTTTTTTCTGGCCTCTGACTTGTTCAAAAGAGAATTATGGGAACAATGAAGAGAAAAAAAAGACCCTGAAAAAGACCGAGAACTAAGTCTAGAGTTAAAGACTATTGCTGTACAGATGAGCCCTACCGGGACTTCGGGCACTTTACTCCGCTCGACTATACGCAAGATGTTTCATTCTATCTCTTCTCTTTTCTTCACCGCTCGTCTCATCATTTACGGATATTCACTAGTGACAGATTCTTTCTTATCCTTTCCCTTTATCCGTCGCGTATTTTTAATGTTATTGGGGGTTTTAGATTATTCGTAGAAGCGCCCCCCAATCATTGGACCCTGCGGGGTTATTTCTTCTCTGACCCCAAGCAACCTTCCCCAGTGATGAGCAGGATCGTCATGAATAAAAAGTCATGTTATGAGAAAAAAAGACTTTTATAGTACGAGAACCCCGTATATTGTGTCGAGGGGAAAGGAGTGATCGGCAGTCTTAATTGGTGCCTGTTGCAGATTGAGATGCAGGTATTTGGCCGTGCATATATGTATGTGTCCCTACATAGATATATCCAAATCAACAGATCATAACGTTCTAGATCACGAATAAACAGCATGATCACCACAATATCCATCAATCGTCTTTATTCTTAACTCAAACTTAGCCGGTCCGTTTTCCCTATCTTTTGTTTACTCACCACCATGCATGCCTACAGTACTTTATTAGTGAGCCTCACTTTACTAAAAGATAAGGGTCCCTTACTCATCCCAGCAACAAAAAAATGACCCTCGTCATGAAACTAGTTCATGCCCGGGTTCTTTCGGAATTCCTTTTTCCAAGCAACCGAGTTGGTGCGCTTTACTTTTCCTCCAGTGGGGATCCCGAGCTATCCCCCTTGTTAGAAAAAAGCAAATAAAAACATCACGACATGGAGATTAGAGAGAATCTGCCCATTCTCTTTGTTATTGTTCGTGCGGCTCTTTTGGACATTGGTCACCGATTATGCATGTTTGTCTCTCTGCCTTGCTTTTCGGGCCTCTGATCCGTCAAACATGTCTTTCTTGTTTGCATAAATTATTCGCCACCCCCAGGAACGTCAGCCCAGAATCGGAAGCCGTTGGAGATGAAGTGGGTTCCTCAAAATTCCCATGTCTCTTTTGTTGCGGAGACTTGAGGTTGGGGCGCTTCTGTGAGCCTACTCGGGTCGGCAAAGGGATATTCGAACCGAAAGACCTTCATTTTAAAATATATGCCGAGTCATGAATCGTGCGGTCATCTCTACTGTAGTTTAGTAATTTTCCTTCCACCTTGCCAAGAAATGACCCCTATGACATAACATACTCGGATACACTGTAAACCATGCTGCTGGTATGGAATTCCCATTCAATATTGCTCCCCTAATAGATTCCCCATCTTACTATAGAAATTAAAGACGTCTGTTCCCAATATGGAAATCTCAATGTTCTATCATAAGCTCCCCGAACTCCCGGCTCTCATGATGCCGTCCTCCGAAAAATAAGATACGTACCCCCGATCCGGGGTTTTGCCCCCCGCGCCGATCCGTCCTCCGGCCGCCCCTCCTCCAGCTCTAGCTCCAGCTTTGACGACGACGTCCAACAACAAATCCTCCCACGATCGACTCGAAGGACAACAAAGCAAAGCAAGATCCTCGACCCACGAACGCGATGACGTCCGCAGTCGAACCTGCCCAGTCCAATCGCTGGTTCGCCGTCCCTCGCCCTATTAGAAATCTCTTCAACCATTTCCCCCTCCACGTCTACGGCCCTGAAGAGCTTCCCGTGCGATCCCCCGCTACCGTGCGCCAACGACCTACACTATACGTCTTCGTGGCAGACCAAGATGCCTTGTTGGGAAAACCGAGCTACAACCCTTCATGTTTGAAATGGCAGGTGTGTTTTTCTTCTTTCCAATAATAGAGAATTTCCAATTCCTAATGTCTGTTTTGATAGACTGTGTTGAAGATCGCGGGTATCGAGTTTGACATCGTACCCTCAAATAACCACGCTTCACCCTCAGGCGCATTACCTTTTCTGTTACCATCTTCGTCGCAATCATCGAAACCTCTCACTGGCCAGAAGATCCACAAATATGCTCGTGAACATGCCGCTTATACGTTCCCCAACATCCCGTCGCCCCGCCTCGAAGCCTACCAAGCTCTTCTAACACAAAACATCCGACCAGCCTGGGTAAGTAAATCACGCCATGTTAAACAACACCTGCTAATATCACGATAGTTATACGCCATTTACCTCCTTCCGGCCAATGCCTCCCTCCTCAAGAGTCTCTACCTCCCATCCTCGATCCTCCTCCGGGCACCTCTCCACCAAACCCTCCACGCCGCCGCAACTGCTGAGATTCTCAAGACGACACGTCGCGCAACTATCACACCCTCTCAGCTTTTCACCGATGCGACCAATGCGCTGAAGGCTCTTTCCGCTCTACTAGGCGACGATAAATGGTTCTTCGGTGCCGAGGGGCCAGGCTTGTTCGATGCGGATGTATTCGCATACACATATTTGATAGATGGTGATGCGCTTGCCTGGGAGGACAACTCACTGAGCGAGTGCTTGGAGGGTTTACAAAACTTGAGGAGGCACAGAGAACGCCTCTACAAGCGGTGTTGGGGAGTAGAAAAGTCCTAAGAAGAACCGGACATCACCTTTAGACGATTGACCCGTCTTGTAATGTACTACAAGTTCGAACATGACTGTAAACATCAATGTATCATATGTATCATGAGGAGTTCCGGAAATTAAGATAAGAATGGGCGTGGATGGCACAGATTCACAGCATGATTAGAATGAGTTTCGATTTGTTCGCTGATCATCAGCAGATCTCAGCGATGTGATGGGCACCTTGAAATCCATGTTTCTTTACCTGCAAGAGGGGAGTTGACATGTCTAATCCCCTGCCATCATCTCGCCCCAAGTCCCCTAACCCGTCTATAACAGCGCTCCAGAAAACCCGTAACCTTCATACCACATGTTGGTTATTTACAACTTGGCGACACTCCCAAATAAGCTCGGCCTTATGTGAGCTTCTAGTTCGACAAGTGCGACTAGGAATAAGAAACGCGACGCGAGAAAATCCCATGCGATAGTAATACCTTCAGAACGCCGAATAGAACCTGAACCCCAACGATGCAAGGAATTCATGACGTAAAAATAGAAATTGCCTGATGGCGTCTAGTTCTGGTGTGGTTGAGGGATGCCCTCCAAAACATCGCTGACTGAAGCAAAGGCTCCTTCACCACCATCTTGACGAAGTTCCTCAAGTAGCACACTGTTCTGAGCATAAATCAACTCTAAAGCTGCCCGGGACGATTTCCCAAGAGAAACTGCTTAAAAGTTAGAGCATGGTAGCTTGAGGCAAATCAATACACTTACGCAAAATGGCTGAGTTGAGTTCTTCCGCCACGGTAACTCGTCCATTTCTATCCAAGAGATGGCTCACTTGAGGCTCTTTCAGGGGGTTCTGATATGCTGGCAAAGCCCAGATCTCATTTAGAGCTTTGTTCACTTCTGCCCGTTGGTCGTTGGCATATTCTTCTTGCAGCTTTTGGCCATATTCCAACATGCTGCGTTCAAGCTCAGCAAGTTCGGTCGCGTTTTCGCCTCCGTCGGTTTCCCACGAAGCATTCTCACTTCCGTTAAGGTCAATATCCATGATTTGGTTGCTGGCGTGCTTAATTCCCTTTGCCTCGTTTCGCATATTGAGCTGCGCCGCCTTACGCACTAGCTCGATGAATTTGCGACACCGTAGCTTAAAATAGACATGTTCATTGTCTTCTAGCACATGAGGGTAATACGCATTGGTGTATTTAAGCGCCCTGTCGATGTCTCCTTCAAGTATTGCTCTCCTTATACCTGTGTTGTTGTCAGCGAGCAACCCATATAAAAAATCTGCAGTCAACTTACGTTGGCGGTTGTTAGCATCTTCGTCTTCCCTTTCGCTCTGATACTCGGCTCCTGAAACGTTTGGATTAACATTCAGAGCTTCTTTTTGGATTCTCATATCTTCTGCAAAAGCTCGAGCTGTTTCCACATAGCCATCGTGCTGGAGGAATTGAAGAACCAAGTGCTGGATGAGCTCGGTTTCGGACTGCTCTGGTAGAATCGCTGATCCATCAGTAGCTTGGATGGCTTTGCGCACTTTATCACGCTCTTCCTATGACTGCATTAATTATGCATTGTGCAGAGAGATGGGTTACACAAGCTTACTCGCATCATGTCGTCGATATTGTAGACAAAAGGAGTCTGTCCAAAGTTGACACGGACGAACTCGCCAGGCTTCTTGAGGCCGACTGTTGGGTAAAGCTTGCCCCTAGCAGCAGAAATGTCATGGAAAGCCCATCCTGCGATCTGGTTAATTGCATTGGAGAGAACAATGATGAGCACAAACTTACCTAATTTCACGCCGTTCTTAGTGAAGAAGGCGCTGCTTTCTTTAAAGTTGACGCCACACCCAACCACGTCGTTGACATTGTAACCGGGGCCAAAATGCCTGCCAATGTTCTGTCCCGTAAAACATCTGCCATCATCACCATGATACCCCCAAGACTCGGGTTCCCAGCCAACTGGTCGTGACAACGCAGCTGTCTTTGCGCTAAATCCGATACTCACTGTGGCGCTATTTCATTTGTCAGTAGTGTATCTAAGTACAAAGACCCCAGGCAGCTTTGTCACTTACTCGTCTCGTTTGGCTGAAAGTATCTGCACCTCGAAATAGTAGATTCCGCATTGAGGGGGCATGTAATGGTCAGCACGGACTGCACAAGCCTCATGATCCCTATCGTGCTGGTTCTTAGGCCCAACGTGTTTCACGCTGAGGCCGTCTTGTTGGATCTCTATGCCTGTCATCTGATCTTCCTTGTTCCATCTGGTTGGTAGAGGTGCCAGTTCATCACTCTCTTCCACGACTGGGGGACGCTCTATCACAGTATGCGACATGCCTCGGTGTGCACCAGGAGGCAAAGGATGCTGATTGTATGATGTAGTCAAACCATGTGAAATGCCATTGGCGGAAGCACGTGTTGCTTCGCGTGTCTGGATCTTGGATTTGTGAGCTTCTTGGAGCTTCTGAACATATGTTGAGTTCTCGAGGTATGATGGAATAAAGAAGTTGTCATCGTCGTTGTTTAAGCTACTGTCGGTAGAAGCCGCCGCCTCCGAGGCCACGAGCATGCTGAAAGCTCGAGAGAAAGATGGGAGACCAGTCCTTCTGGTGCTCACACCAGTCTCGAGCCCAGAAGTGTCCATATCGATAGTGTTGGCCGGTTCGGAGCCGGGGAAGTTGAGTTCGCCGGATGCGTTGAATATCGAGGTACGGGCGGGATGGGTATAAAAGTTGGGGATATTAGCGATGGACGGGTTGTTCGGGGAAGAGAAGCGGGCGTTTCGAGTGGATGGTGAAGGCGCGATGGATGGCGATGTCGATTCGGGAAGAGCAGAGGAGCTTGAAGCTTGATATAGGGGACTTGCCATGTCCACGAAGACAGAAGCAAATACAGTGCAGTCGTCACCCAATCAACCACCCAACAGCAGAGGCAAGAGGAGAATTGCTGGGAAGGTCGAGTCCCAGTGCAGTACTAATATGTTTGTTTGTAGTGGGGTGTAGCGTTGAAGTCGGATCAGTTGTCTAGCTAAGGTACGCAGGCGCCACGAGGGTGGACGTGAGCACGAGCTTCGGATAGGTCGAGAGTTAACCGATAAGGCGAGAAGCAAAGTCGTTAAAGAAGAAAAAGTGAAAGAGGAAACACAATAACAAGTCCCAGTGATGCCAATCTATTGAAAAGTGGCTTGCAGCCAATAAGTACAGTACAGTACAGCAGTGAATGGTGCTAAGTTGGAGGAGAAGGCGGGCGGATGGTGGATGGCGGAGAGCAGTGGACGAGACGGATAGAGTGGAGGTGGCTCCCGTAAGAAGCGTCACCGTCACCAGTTGATGGCCCAGAAGATTGACAATACAAAACCAACAGAGTATCAATGTAAAGGATCTATTTCTTGATTATCAAAGAAGGAAACATCCGTTGTTAAATGACTGTCTGTTGACAAAGCTAGAAACCGAGTCATGGTTGGATCATCATCCAACGTTCTCCGTTCTCTCCTCATCAACACATGAGAGGTACGTATCATGGCAACGCAACTTGCGCTATCACTATCGCTATCAATCACGAGGGTCACTTTGCTCCCCCAGCGGGTTTAGTCTTTCAGTACTTTCTCTACCTTGTCTGTTAAGCCAGCGCTTAACAAAAAGCAGCATCAACTTAACAGTGGAGGCAATCAGCTTCCCCGCTAACCAAGCCGGACCCTCTCTAACCTGCATTGCTCCATGATCCGCTATGCAACACGCCCCAACACGACACAGTCTAGGGGGCAACAGAAAAGCCGATTGGGAGTTTTGGGCTGCATAAAATAAATGACCTAAGAGGTTGATCTGATGTGGCACAGTCTGACTTGGTAATTTTGTCTTACCCGCTCTTACTAGCCCAGTTTTTTGTAACCTCAAGGACAGTCCATCAAACTGAGACGTGATAACACGGTATTATTACGCTCTTTGGGGAGGAATAGCCTTTCTTTGGGTACCAAGTCGAATATGAATGCAAGTCAGACGGAAACGTGGTCAATGTGCCTAGAATAATACATGAACGCGAAAGAAATATGAGTTTTATTCGCTGCTACCTATCTAGTTAGGTACGTAGGTCAGGCGAGGTTATTTGCTGACTTATTCCCAAACCTCCAATGAGCGCCCCGATTTCCAATATTGGTTTTATGGTTTCAAATCTGGTTGCTGTTTATTAGCCCCCTCGCAGCATTATCCAGCCACCATCGCTCATCTCCAGACGAGACTTGTTGCGCATTATAAGCTTTGAATAATGTTGCTTGAGCCAAAGTAACAAAAGAAAAAACGAGATTGCAATGTAGCATTATACACGCTCATCTGCTGTATTAAAGCTCAAACTGTCTAAACTCAGTTTCGTCGTGATGACTAAGCCTCGGTGCTCCCTGCAACCACACCACGACATCAAGACATGACCCCGATGAGAAAGACAAACGCAAAATGTATCCACTGTCTGGCCATTGGGGCATCTCGTCACCCGAAAACTCTTCGCCAACCGCTCAAGTCAAAGAATTCCCTCACATTCGAGATGTTTTCTCACCACAAGAAGCCAAAATGTGAATGAAACTAAATTTGGCGCTTTGCATGCCACTCTTCGCATCTTGACGCTGAGCGACTTTACGGCGTGACCAAGACGAGCAACACCCAACCACCATATATTTAGGTTTCTTGAGGGATGCAAATTGCGTCAGCTATCTTAAGACCTGCCGACTGCGTAATTTCAGACTGCCAAGCAGGAAAAACTGAAATCAGCGATAATACCCAGGCTGCGACAAAACGACGTGTCAAATACTGTCAGTCAGATCAGCGCCCACCTCGTAGTTTACCGACGGAAGAATGAATTCATGTCAAAATCACACAACAAAAAGAATATGCTTCATTTTGGATTAAATAATGCAGAGTTTGGTCTGGACGGCCCTCCAAACCTGCCTAACATTTTCCTCGTCTTGCTTGTAATTGTACATTGCCTTGAGCATCGCCAAAAGTTCAATACCAATTCCTTTTCCACAGCGCTTCCTCCTCGCTGTTCCGTAACGCCAGCGACACCAGCGTCGCATTCTTGATATAAGAAAAATCCGTGGTCGAGTCTGGATCCATGACCTCGCTCAATCTCAAAACATGTTACCTGAGTGACTGACAGACCAACGAGCGTCAGTTGTATGTAAACCCAAAACGCCGGCAAATGTCGTAGGATAGTGAAAACAAACTCTGATAGCAGAGCAGAATACATAGGGAAAGTAGAGCTATGCAGCCACTGATTACTATGAGGCGGCTGTGATAGCCAAAGGTACGGGTGATGAAGCGTGGTTGCTGGGAGCACTCTGCATCTCGACGTCGTTGCCACTGTTGCTGTTGCTGGCACTATTGGCCTCTTGGCCGCTCTCCTTATTTTCCTTGGTACTGCCCTCGGCGGACGCGGCGGAGGCAGCGGTCGAATCTTCAGCACCAGATTCTGGAGCCTTCTTCTGGGGAGCAACCCAGCGAGGAATCTCCCATGCGACGCCTGTAAAGCTCTTGAGCTGGAAGCCTCCCTTGGCCCATCGGCGACAAGGCTTGCCAGAGCGATCGAGAGCGCGAAGGCCAGCATTGATGGCTCCTTGGTTTGCCTTGGGTCCTAGCTTGTGGCCTCCAGCGGGCTTGGTGCCGGAATGATCGATCGTACCGTCCTCCCTAGAATATAATTAATACAAAGCATAAAATTGGAACGCATATTGTTAGAACTTACAGGCGAGGCTTCTTCTTGGGGCCAGGCTTCCCTCGAGGCTTGGGAATACCATCATTTGTTCCGTTGGCAGTGGCGGCTGATCGCTTGACACCCTTCTTCTTTGGACCTTCGGTAGGCGGCCCCATGGCTGAAGGGGCGGGTGTTCCATCGGCAGTAGTTGCATCAGGGACAGGAGTAGCAGCGTTTGAATCTGAAGCATTGTCGCCATTTGTGACGCTGGCTGCTGGTTGAGAGCCAGAAACGGACGCGGCAGGTGAGCCGGCCTTGGATGTGATGTCTTTGACGGGAGATTCCTCTTTGATGGAGTCGGGCGCGATCAGGGCACGCAGCCTGTCGGGGGAGACTTTGCGAGTGACGATTAAAGTGGCTTTGGTGCTTGACTTGCGTCGCGCGTCGGCGGATTTGGCTGGAGGAGCCATTATAGGTTGATGATCGAGGTGAGGGAGAGAAAAAGTTGTTGGTGATGATCTAGGAATGGTTTGTTGATGACAAGTCGAGATGTTGTGGTGTGTTGCGATGGTAGAAACAGCAATAGGTGATGATGAAAGAAGAATGGGAAAGGAGCAGGTTTTGCGGAATAGGCTTGCTACGGGAGAGGCGGCAAATAACCAAACCAAAGACCCGGTGCGGTGGTGATCCCGTGGTGGTCAGGGGTGGTGGGCTTTTGGGGCTTGCGTGGAGCGATTAGTAGTGGTGGTTTTTATTAAGAGGGAGGATGTCAGCTAGAGTGGTGATAATGGCGATGGAGATGGGTTGGTGGTTAAATATGAAGGAGAAAGTAAAAGATTCAAGGGCAAAAGCCTTGTCTTGAATAGTAGCATTTTAAGTCTTGGTTCTGTTGACATTTTTGATTCTGGTGCTTGGGGCCGAAGGCGGTGCACAAGGAGTGTTAAAAAATTGGTTGGGTTTGGTTTGGTTTCCCGTGTTTCTTTGCACTCTCGCACTCTCGCTCTCTCACAAACTTGGGGATTTCAGGTCCAGGTTCAGTCAGGTCCGGGTCCAGGTCCAGGTCTGACTTGAGTTCTTACTGTAATCGGTTTAGTGCCACTCTCTTCCGCAGCGTAAGGGTACGCTTACTTCCAGCCAATAATAACCCTTGCATGTTCTTAATCTCTCCAAAAAGCAATGCCTCGAATGAATTCTATCCATTGTTATTCCACTCCTCCCAGCCGAGTGAGCGATTCAGCCAGCAAAAGCCTTTTCAATTCAAGCTCCCACGGGCCCTCGATCACCCTTCAGCCCCCGAAATGTCCCTACGATGTATCTTTCATGATGCAAGCACAGTTTAACCCCTCAAAAAGTACATTTTACAATGCCCGACACTTCAAACAGTCATTTAGATACAAAATATATACAATTCTATTTTCAGCTTCATTTCGTGATGCTTCAAAATGGCCACCATGACACGCATGAAAATTATCACACATAACAAACCTACGCAACAAAGAAAAATCAAATCGAGACAAAGAAACAAACATAATTATCTCCCTTTTGTCTACCTCATTCCGTTACCTTGTTCTCATTTTTAGCTCTCTCTCCCCTCCCTTAGTCAAGCTGACGATGACGGGGTAAAAACAGCAAGATGGGGGCACTCAATGTCACTCAGCGAGCCAAGCCACTACAATAATCAGGGTGGCGGAACTCTACAGTTCAAGACAATCCACTGCCCGCAGAATAACTTGGCGTTAATTCAGAACTCTCAAGCCTAGCATCACAGCTCTTGGCAGAGGTTATCTATGGGTTGAGTGCAAATAACTCATCAACCATCATGATACAAACCCAATACCAAAGCTTTCATTCTAACAAAATACATAGAAAAACGAACAATGTCCTTGCCAAACAACCACCAAGGACCATCTCATTCATCAAGCGGATCTTAACTTTCGTCATGGCTCCGCCAAATCTTAGGTGATGTTGTCCAACACGGTGACTACCGGGTCTTAATACCGTCATCATTGTACGCCATTCGACAGCTGGGCATTCTATTTCAACCCCGAGAAAAGATCAGTATGACGAATGAGCTGCCCAAGGCAACCACGTCGGAATACCAGCTTAGGCATATCACCATGCCGCAAAACCATTTATCTGAGTCATAAAGGGTCCTGACAGGAAAACTCGAGTGAGTCTTCCCTCATTCTTCATTCAGCAGAAGGAATGAAGAACGCGTCCTTTGTCCGACGTGAAACAACGAGTGTTGGTCAATTCATTGTATGCCCGCCCGAGACTGAGACATCGTGATATGAATGTTGCCATCACAATAGTTGGAATGCGTTGCTCCTCTGCAACCCGAAGTCCATGGCAAAGGTATATCATGGCAACCCATCGAGCCTCATTCAGAATTAGAACACACACACATTACATTGTTTACTCAACTTTTTAACAAATCCAAGTCGACAAAATGATACGCTTATACATACTTCTTTGCCTCTTACCATGCCTCCTCCTAACCGCTCCGTTTGCTCATGCTGCCCTCTTGCCCCGCCTCAAAACTTCATTCAAGCTACCAGGTGCCATCTTTACTGAGCCTGAAACCAGATCTCTCAAAGTAGTCCCGTTCAAAGAGCTTCCTGGGAAATCTCATCATGGCCATCGACTTCATCATACTCTCAGTCTGGTGAAGCGACTGGTCGAAGACCAGGGCGATATGGTTGAAGTTACTGAGGAAGCTCTGGAGGAGCTGCTGGAACAGATCAACAGGCTTCATGACCAAGTCAACGGCATGATGCCTTCAGGTGCGCCGGATAGCCAGTCTTCTCGTGAAACAGGTGCCTCATCAAACGGTCAGCCGGGCCAGTTACCTGCGGGTTCTTCTGATGGATCTTCCAGTGATGGTCAGCCCGAACAGCTACCTGAGCAGTCACCTAAAGCTGAAGTTCCTGACGCCGCGGATGTTCCTGGTCCGTCTGAAGTTCCTGTAGTCTCTGAGCCCTCTCTGCGACCGGAGTTGCCTGAACCAACAGATGAAGGTGGTACTGTTCGCGAGCCACCTCCAGGTGCACCGGATCAACCAAGCGTACCTGGCCAGTCACAGACAAAGGGGCTTGATAGACAGGCTGGCTCGGCACTGGCCCCAACAGCTGTAAATCCTACTCAGGCAGCGAACGACAAACTTACCAATCCCCCTAGCGAGGCCGAACCCGAAGAGTCGCCTGGTGACGGTGAAGCTGTGGCTTTGACAGAGTCTGTAGATGCCTCTGGAAACGGGGGTACTCTTCAGTCTGACAACCTGCCCAACAATGCTGTAGCCCAACCCACAGGCAATGCTCAGAATCCGACTGGGATACAAACCAACACGGCACAAGACGTCAGACCTACCGAAGAGCCCCAAGATGAAGACTCCAGTTCTGATTCTAGCGACGCCGATACAGAAGAGCCCAGTGCTTTGCCCGGAGGCGCATTCGTTGAGAGTCCTGATGGTATACTTCAGACACTTTCCAGCGATGTTGCATCTGCGGAACAGACTGGTGATCTAGCATATGAGGAAAACCAGGAATCGTCGCCGCCAGATGACGAGTGTGTTGAAGATGAAGAAGTAAGTGGTCTCCCCGGCACAATTAGAAACCCTAACTGCACACCAGGTAATAGGCCATCCGCGAACGACCCTACGCAAGACGCTTCAGCAAACCCGACTCTAGTCGCTACCGCAGAGACAAGCCTGGCTCAGGTAGCTGTTGCAGCCTCTGAACTTGCGACTCTAGAACCGACAAAAGGAGACTCCCCCGTGGCTACCAAAGCCAAAGGGCCAGCCCCGGCACTGGAAACGGAAGCCACATCGACGCCAACTATCAATGCTGTAGACTTGGAACAACTTGCTGCACCTACCTTGATAGCTAGCCCCCCTACCGCTTCCAACCCTGAGCCGTCGACCGCGGCGCAGCTTTCAGTAGAGCAGACATCTCCGAGCCTGAGAACTTTGGTGTTTACTTCCGTGATTACAAGATCCTCAACTATCAAAATAACTACCACTCGCACGGAGTTCGTCGACGCAAACGAGCCCACTCGGTCTTTCAAGGCCCCTGGCCATGTTTTCAAGGAGGACGAAGATGCAGGTGCAGCTTTCAACAAAGATGGAAAGCTTGCTGCGGAGGACAGTGACGACGAAGATACGCCAGGTATTAACACAATAGATAGTACAAGAAGAACGAATGCTGATCATTTTGCAGAAGCACCCCTTCAAGGAACTTCCCTCAATACCGAAATCGCGCCAGAGATCACATCCCTCAGTACCACGACAATGGCTATGACAACGACAATTAGTTTGAGTTATCGAAGCACCATGCCGACTCCAGAGGCCACTCAGAACCTTATGCCTGCTTTGGTACCATCCGCTATCATACGTGGTAATGGGACATACGATACGACACCTACCAGCGGGTTCAAGACCATCAGGTCGACAGCCAGTATGGCAGAGAGGGCACTGATTTAGACGCACATGACTTATTTTTTGGGATTTATGATTCGATGGTGTTTGGATATGGGATGTTTAGTATGACTAATGAATTTTTTTGGATGGTTGCAACAACTTGTCATGTGGTGATACTCGTAGAGCGTACACGATATCAATATGCTTTATTTAACTTGTTCACAAAATTGTGCCATTGAAGAAAGCAGTGGCATCATTGTACACGGCATTTCTAACTTCGCCCTCAAAAAGTTTCTGGATGCCCTCGAAGTCGTAACCTGCACCGAGAGCAAGCTGAAGTTGAATGCGAGCATTCTCTCCGCGTAGAACTCCAGAGCTGATACTGCTAGCATGTTAATTTGCAGCCTTAGTCTAGAGAATCAAAGTTCAGCTTACATCTTTTCCGTCTCAGGGCTGGGAACTGAGAGTCCAAAATAAGGACGGAATGAAGCCACAGTGATAACACCTTGACTGTAGAGGTCCTCGGCTGCAAGTGAAGCAGCAGTACTGAGGGCACCAGGGCCAACACCCATAATTACAATACCCCTTGAATATGTTAATCAGGCGGAAGAGAACCGAACCATAATAGTGCACTCACTTGGCGCCGTTTTTGGCCGCGGAATAGAGAAGATCAGCGTCGAAGCCCTCTGTGACGATATTAGTCCAATTACCATTATCAAGGGCGTATCATCACTGACGATGACCATAAAGAACATCAACCTTTGGTAAAGGTGAGCTCAGCTCAAATGGATTAAAATAGTTCCTGGCCTTGGGTAAAGATGGAGAGTAGAAGAAGTACGGCTGTCCAGACATGAACTGTGCGATGTACCCCTGATCAGGTGCCAAGAGAGTTGATACAGTGTTACCATTGGTCTTTGTAGCATAAAACGCCGAGACAAGATGATCGTTCATTGCAATGAGTGCTCCACGATCTCGAGTCTCAGGGTGTATGGCAGTTCGAACAGCGTCGTAAAAGTTGGACGGTCCATCAGCTGAGAGCGCAGAGTTGGGGCGCATCGATCCTGTGGCGACGAAAGGTTTGGAGCAGTTGAGAGTAAGGTCAACGCCAAAGACCTAGCAAATTATAAGTGATTTCTTCCCAGAAGCACTTCCGGCTATGCATCTTACTGTGTCAGCCAAGGTATTGGTGCCATGGATCATGACAGCTCCAACAATGTCCGAATCGGGACTACAAAGACGCTTGTGAGCGTCTATGGAGATATTCAAGAAGCGATCTGAATCAGCATTCGCACTTCCTGCGCCATTTCTTCCCCCCGTAAAGTTGACGACAGCGATCTGAGCGATATCTAGAACTTCGCCGACGGTCTCGATAAGTGTCTCGGGAGTTAGACGGCCGATGGGACCACCGTAGTTGTTGGTGTCCAGTCTACCGTTGGTTGAACCAGAGAGGATTGTTCCATCACCAGTATTATAAAGCCTACCCATAAGTCAGTAACCAGGTAATGGAATCAGTGGAGGGAATGTGACATGATCTTGGGTAGACCAGAATCTTTGGAGATCCAGGTCAAGCCTGTGTTGTGGTCATCGCGTTTATGGATCCTCGTTGGCGAAGCTATCGAGGCAGAAACTAAAAGAGACAATGCCGTAAGGGATTGAAGCATATTTTCAAGTATCAAAAAAGGTACAGAGGGCGAGAAATAATATTGATGTTCACCATGAGAGAGAGACCTTTTGCTATATACTCGTGTTGAAACCTACCTAGCTATAAGCTCTACTGCATAGTAGCTTGTTGAGACTACATCAGGATGAAAACTCTCAAGATACTAAAACATATCTCGACGATCTCTAGAACATGATAACAAGATAAGTTGGTATAAAAGATTCTCATTACGTACAAACCCAAGCGTTAAAGGCAATCCGCCGTACGAACATGAGATCCAGTGGTTGAAGGATCAGAGATCGGTCTGGTTTGCCCATTACGGTTGATAAAGCCAAGGCGGCCAGGATGAATTCTCCTAACGATCATCACCTAACAGGCTATAAACAACTTAAACAGGAGCTTGGGCTGGTAGGTTCTTATCATAAAGACAGGATCCAATCAAGAAGGACAGAAATCCAAGGATTTCATGCAGGTCATTGAAATTCTGGAGATAATGTTATCTGTGGGGAAGCCAGATTGAGTGAAAATAACCTTGGGTTAAATCGATCTGTAGATGTTGATATCGGAGAATTAACCGAGTTGTGCATAAGAATTGTTATATGATAGGAAGAGGTCATATTGGGTATTGTAGCCAATTGTTACAGTCTGAGATATCTTGTCTTTTTGACTGGCATTTTCCACTATAAATGCAGGTCAATCTTATTCTTCCACCCTGACTCAGAGTAGGCTACAAGTGATTCTTGTTAACCAACAGCCACATTGGATATAGGCTATCATATTTTGTACATGTCCGTGATCAACGCTGGCTACTAATTTTGCGGGCTTTATACCGAGTTAGGTGGTGACATGTAAGCACTTGTTGTTGCATCCTCAAAAGGCCCCATCAAAATGGAACCATCGTTCTCTCTGCCACGTTGTTCGACCACTTTAAGCAAACATTGAATGAGAAATTGATCCCTAAATGATGGGAAATAAATGCTGACATTCATTTACTAGCCAATAGCATCTGTCCAAAATGATGGACAATGCACCTGACAATGGATTGCAGGCGCAGGGTCTTGCGCCTCGGCTGCGTTGGTTCTCAGTCTTACCTGCATAGACCTCTCTCGAGTCTTGGCTCGTCATCTCATCTCATTCTGTTTTTTTTTTTCTTTGTTCGATTTTGCGCTCCTTCAACACGTTCGGTCAATCATTTTTTAAATCGTGAGAGGGGATATCGAAAAATAAACGACGAGATGCTAAGATGAGCCCTGGAAGACTCAATTAATAACTCCCTCTCTCATGCCACACACCATGAGGTTCTTCACCATATATATCGCCTTTGTGCCCCTCACCATCGCTCACACGCGACGCTATGAAGCACTCCAGGCTGCACCAGGCGATCTTATGCCACGGTTCTTTATCGATCGATCTTTTCCTCTAGCCAAGCGTGCTGGAGACTGTGGTTCAGACAAACACAACTGTAAGTCTTGCATCCCTCAAACTCTATCATCTCTCAACTCAAACTTATTTGTTATAGGCCTCGAAATCGGCTTCCCTGATGACTGTTGCGACAATGACTCTTATTGCTACGTCAACCGACAAGGTGATCCGAAATGTTGTCCTATAGGCTCAAACTGCTCGTCCGACTCGCCGTGCAACTCAACTGCTTACTACTGCACCCGCACCGCTATTATCAGCGGGACTACCACTGAGCAACGGGGTTGCTGTGATCGCAAATGTCCTACGACGAGTCTTTATCTCTGTCCCAGCAGTCTCGGCGGGAACTGCTGCGGTTACAACTCTGAATGCCGTGTTGGTGGTGCTTGTGCCTCGACGAGACCTGCTTCAAGAACAGGTCTACTTTCACCTATACCTTCAGGCTGTACGACATCCCAACATAGTTGCACCATCGGAGAAGGATGTTGCGACAACGACCAAGTGTGCACTCAAGTCAGTGGTGAGGGATACTGTGCCCAGGCTGTACCTACAGAAAGCGACGCCACAGTCGTTGACGACGATGATAGCGATAGCAAATTGTCGGATGGCGCAAAGGCGGGCATAGGCGTTGGTGTTGTTGTAGGAGGGAGCCTCATCATCGGCGGCCTTACTTGGATGTGTCTGCGGAAACGAAGACGCCAGCGAAGTGCGTCAGGGCCATCTGCACCCGGGCACGTCAACGACCCTGCTCGTGACGGCATGACAGATATATCAGGGAGTCATGTCCGGTCAGGTCCGACCCAAGATTACTTTGGACCAGATCCTGCAGCTGGTCCATACACAGAGCCGGCCAGCTCACGAGTTACTTCACCTGGCAGAGACGCTGCAGTACCCATGCATGCACAAAGTCCTGGTGATATTGCGGCGCCAGTCGAGATCGATTCAACGAGAAGAGAAGGCAGTGATCTATTATCGCCCATGTCCAGTCCGAGTCTGTACCAGACACCTCTTTCCGAAACAATAGACGGTCGATTCGAGTTATACGGTAACGATTCATCGATAGCCCCTGACCGTCCGCTGTCCATCGTTCCAACACCACCACAGAGTATAATGGGGGACAAACGCCCAAGGCAGGATTAATAGTGTAAGGAGAGAGATTCATTTCGGTCTATTCATTTATTTATTTTTGGTTACTTAGAAACGCCCAACCAGTTCGTAAATACGAAGAGAGCCATCCAATTCTTGAGTGCATTGCATATCCGAATGGAGAGAAAAGAAATAAACAATTATGTGTATCGAAGTTGATGCTCAGAACTCCATGCCAATAAGGGGGGACGTCAAGGGCGCCGCCTATGAGTCCCATCAACGCCACTGTTGAATGAAGTGTAAATAAAAGAAAACACAAAAGGCAATCATTGTCCGTAACAATTTTTCTCATTCCGTCTGTATTCAACAGACAACGCCACCAAATGGTGCGCAGGTTCGTAGGTCCTTGACAAGTTCCTCTACACTGCTCAGGTGTTGGCTGAGCAGCTCTTGCTTCTCCTCTGTGGTAAGGTAGATGTCCCCTTCAGGATCCGACCCAGAGCGCTTGCGTCGGGAATCGGCATTAAAGGCGCCGGCGAGCTTGCTGGGGCTACGCTGGAACATGACGGGGACGCTATCGCGCTGGTCTGCTCGGGGAATAGATGGTATCTCGGGCATGAGATAGAAGTAAAGGAACTCGACAAGCTTGAGCTTGACCTCACGAGCTGTGGATCGAGACTTGAAGAGTGACGTGACTGTAAGAAGGCCATCAAGGCTTTCAAAAGTGCGTGTGTTGATGGGAGTGTCAATAAGAGCGGTTACCAGGGTGAGTAGAGTTGCGGATTGGATGGCGGGGCAGTTGTAAGGCTCAAGAAGGTCGAGAAGAAGCTATGTCTTTTTGTTAGTCTGTGCTTTTTTAAAGAAAAAGGCGGTGGCGGAGCAGGCCAATGCGCTACATACGTTCATGTTTTGTTCTCGAGCGAATAGAGATTTGCTGGGAGGATGAAGCAGCAAAAGTCCCTGGATGAGATCGAGGGAGCTCAAGATCAATAAGTCGTTTCCACCATCACCGCCCTTGGCCATAAGCCTATCGAGGGTGCTGATCAGGCGCATAGCAACGTTCCATTCGAAACCCTCCTGCAACTTGAAGAATTCTCTGAAAGCCGGGTCTCGGGATAGCTGAGAGAGTTCCTTCTGAGGTGGTGTTGACGAGGTGTCGCTTCCATCGTTGTCTGAATCACCTCTTCGATGGGAGCGGTCGTTTCGAGAGGTTGCATTTGCTTTTGCTTTTGCGTTTGAGAGGCAGATTTGAGCGAGAAGACCTTCGACCTGGCGAAGGCCTTTTCGTACTTTGGGTCCGTCGTAGGACGAGAGGTTGTCGAAGGCGAGGGATAATAGTGACTCCATTACGATGTTGTTTTGTTGACAGCTGTCTAAGTGGGAAAGACAAAAGTGGCGGGCAGCTATTAGGTCTGCCAAGAAGATAAGGTTGAATTGATAAAGAAAAATAGAAACACAGAACCGAAGCTCTGAGCTCGTTCGTTATTTGTGTTTCTAGAATAAAAGAAGAGAAAGAATGTGTTCAACGTACGATCCGGACCGGACGACGAGCACAAGAATGGAAAAAGTGACTGACGATTGAAAAATGACGGTGACGAGGGACCGAGCTCAAGTTTAGGATCGACCGTTGAAGGTGGACTAAAACCAAACAATTGAGGTTGGGTGGAGCATCGGCACGGCAACGGGCGACCGAAATTCCAAGGTTAAGAGTGTCACGTTCCGGGGTTACAGGGGCCATGCGGCGCCTAGAACTGCCAGAGCGCTAAGAGAACTACCTGTCACCCTGTCATCCAGACTGTTGGGAGAAAGGAATGTCCTGGTAGATAAGACGTTGATAGTTGGATTTAAAGAAGATGAGGTATGGAATAGGTAGACTAGTTACTAAAAGCAAAGACTCGGCTTAAATGAGAGTTTGACGTTTGGTCCAACGGAGACTGCTGGTTTACTTGGCGAGCTGCCCAGCACCGTAAGTATGTTTATTTACATCCGCAGTGTACTACCTAGCAACTGATGGTCTCGGCAAAGATACAAACAATACGACACAAATACAATTACTTGCCTGGGCTTCTTTCACTGTTCTCCCAATGCAGACTCAATCACCAATACAATCCTATCTTCATCTTCATTCTTCTTCAATTACCTTCATCTTTTCGGCCGAAGGTGGGTACTCGGCCGATACTCATTAAACTGCATAATCTCATCGTCGATGGAGAACCGATTGGCGAAAGAATGTAATGAACATCAAGGATGGCAGCTGTTATTTTTAGTGTCGGCTCAACTCTTGGCTTGTCTAATTCTGCCTGACCTGTCTTTCCGTGTTGCCCGTTATGATATTTGGGCTGATATCAAATGTCAGGCTCAGACACAACTTCAAGGCCCCTTGTCAGGTTCGTGCTTCAACACCAACGCATAGGCAGATTAATATTTTGAAACATGGGTATTTTGATGATGGATCTCATATATGACGTATTATGGAGCCCCCTAGACATATAACTTGGCATTCTAATTACTCATTACATCATCCGCTCTACTCGCCACTCTCAGACTGCCACAAAATCGTCTGCACGGCTTCATCCACAGTAGCGGCGATGACTGTAGGCTTAATATCCAAAGAACCAGCAAGACCATCACTCCACCCCATTCCATTACGATCAATCCACACACTCTTGAGTCCAACCGCCGTCGCACCCGTCACATCAAACGGATTCGAACTCACGAGCCAAACCTTTTCAAGCTGCGATTCCAGCCCTGCTGTCTTGGCCATGAACTTGTACGTACGAGGATCCGGCTTGAACACTTGAATTGAGTCGATGCTCACAAGCTTCTCCTGAGGAAATACGTTGCTAGCCTGTGATAGGGAAGGTGACGTCTTGATTGATGAGGCGAGCATGTCTACGGTGCCGTTAGAGAAGATGTAAGGGTCAATAGATGGACTCTCTGCCAGCCTCTTAAGCGCATCGTCAACATCCGGAAAGGTATCAAGACCATTGTACGCATCCATCACGCGTTCTTCCTGCTCGGAAGTGAGCTCGACGCCAATTTCCTTTGTAGCCTGTCGAAATGACCATCTTGTAAAATCGCTAAACGAGCGATAAGTGCCTTTGAATGTTATCAGCTACAGTCATGTCTTGAATCATGTTTAACTTACCCATGCTATTGGCACGCCATGTATACTCGAGCTGGTACCGCCTAGCGAGCGATGCGATAGATTGAGCTTTATCTTGCCCGTATAGTTTTGCCAACTCTCCTGCTATTGACTCAGTGGAGAGGATGGTACCGTAAAGGTCAAATGCAATGACTGTTCGTCCCATTTTGCTGTTCGTGTGATATTTGAGTGTATCAAAGAACGATGAGGGGTGAGTTGTTTGGACAAGTGATGAATGAATGATGCATAAGCTGAGTCATATTTTGATTGGATACCCAACTTCGACATCTGCTCAATGACGATCTTGTATAATATATCTTCGACTACAGCAAAACACAGTTCTAGCGATCATATCTATCCTATCTCGCTGCCACGGTCGAATCTGAGCCATCCGTTCCATCGTTTGACAGGACACTGTTCTGTCTATTACCGTTACCGTTACCAACACCCCGTTCCTCGTCCTTCTCTTTGGCTTCCTCCTTGTCCCTTGTAGGGGCAAACTTACTTTTGATACGAATTTGTTTTCCGTATTTATAAAACCAAAACGGTATAATAGCCAGAACAGTAGCAACGCCGCCAATAAGACTGCCGCCACCGCCTATGCCAAGAGCGCTGAACATTTGGTTTGTAAAGAGAGGTGCTGCGGCGCCACATGCTGATCGCGCGATGGTGTTTGCTGCAATAGCTGATGCGGCGTACATGAGGTACACATCAACAAGATATGTCAAGTAGGCAACAAAGATGAGCATCAGGGACGTAGCAAGCAATGTGCCTGCCATTGTCGGTACAATCCAATGGATAGAACTGGTAAACATGTTAGTGTATGCCCTGACCCAGTCCACAAGAGACATGGACTGCTGAACTCATTAACACGAGGTGGGTTACTCACGTATATTCAGCCGTCCATGCAAACCAGAACATTGTCACAGCAAAACCAACACCACCAATCATGGCTAATGGCAATCTGTCTTCTGGTTCTATCTTCTTCCCGCCCTTTTCGATCTTCTTCTTTCGAATGTGTGAATCGATCAACACGATAAACCCTCCAATGCATGCACCTATCGTCATATTAAAACCTGCATAGAAGTCAAGGCCCCCGGAAAAGACCTACCAATCACGGTTCCAATCAGAGGTAGCTCTCCTACACCACTGTTCCAACCTCGTCGTTGCTGAAAGACGATAGGATAAATGCTGAAAAGCATATACAACAAAGTGTAAACAACGGACATGTAGATGGCACACAGGAAGGAGATGGTATCGAAGAGTATGATGAATGGTCGAGTCAGTGCAACCTTGTACACCGCTTTCAATGACCGATCAGTGTCTTCAGACTGGGCCTTGACATTCTCATAGCCAGGGATCTTGGCTTTGCGAATTCTTCGCGCCTTTTTGAGAAGAAGCGTCGGAGCATGCGTCTCGGGGATGGTTAGCATGACGATAGCTGTCGCACCACCAAGCCAGAGCAAGACATAGAAACTCCAGCGCCAATCTTTCTTGAGCTCGAGAAAGCCTGCAATGACGGGGCCCAGAGCCGGACCAACCCATACCATAGCAGCGAATCCAGCCATGGCATTGCCGCGCTCGATAGGAGACCAAAGATCAGCAAGGACGCCTGGTGAGTTGCTAAGGGGTGCAGAGACAAAAGTTCCTGTGAGGAAACGACCAACAAGAAGTGCGCCGAAGTTGGGTGCCCAAGCACATAGGAAGTTGAAAATGAGGTATAACGAGAAGGTGATGTAAAAGATCCATCTTCGTCCGTACACTTCACTCAGAGGCGCAAAGATGAGTGGTCCGGCGCAATATCCCAAAAGGAATAGGGTAATGGTTAGACCTGCGACCAGCTCAGACACATGAAAATGCTTTGCCAGGGATGGAAAGCAACCACTCGGCGAACTCGAGGCAAAAGTGGCATTAAGGACGAGCAACACGGCAGACAATGTGACGGCCCATCTTCGAGGCGTAGACCAATTTTGGGGATTTCTTATATCGTCAGGCGCAAAGTCAACGTAACCATTCTCATTCAAGTATGGAGGGTTTTCATCCTGGAGTTTTGTAGTTCGGTAGGGCTTACTGGTGGCCGATGAGAAGATTCGATGTATGGGCGCCATTGCTGCGCTTTAGAATGCTATTGGCTTGGATTCAATTGCATAGCCAAGAAAGATATGAGAGAGAGCCAAGACTCAACTTATATCTCCCTTCGGAATTAAGGGTCCAACGATTTACATACAACACTACGTAGAAGATACATCTCGGTAAATCGATGACACTCTTCCTCTCTCCTAACAGCCCGATACTCGCGGGCTCAAAAAAATAGGTTATTAATCAGATCCAGGGTCGTTTCCATGATCATTGTCTGGCATCATTACTTCCGCTCCACTGTTGTCGTCATATCTTGGGCGTTCTTATTACACTATAGGCTGGAATCCCAAAGACGGCTCTTGACTAGCGACTCGGTTTAAGAGCTAAAGGGGAGTTCGCCCTTCGCGGTTCGGATCTCGTTGCCGTGTTGTAAATGTTTATTAGGTCGGCAGTTAAAAGCAACATGAACAAGAGACTGTTAACGTTGGCTATGGTAAGTTTGATGCAACCTGGTAGGGAAGTGATCAGTTGGTGTTGGTGTGAAGGCATAGAAATAGTGTTAACATTATCGCTCTTTACTTCTAAATGTGTATCTTAACTCCGTGGACAAGTTGCAGTCCGCGGCCAGATGATGACAGAGGTTTGATTGCGGTACATGATTTGCAGGAATAATTTACATTGAAGCCGAACACTCCGGAGTTTTTGATATATCGCAACGAATAACCTCCGACTTTCCGGCTGGTAATCACAAGCCAAACCTTAGACCAAGATGAAATAAAACATGGTGGAAATGAGAATAGAAATTTTGAAGGGAGAACACTTGACTTTACAGATTCCCACCAGATGGAATGATGACGGTACAGGGTAGACATATGTCCACCGATAACCAAATTCGGACTACAGGGTCCAACGTGAGATGGCCCCATTGATCAGCTTTTGCCTTGACTGACTTTAGATTTGCATGTGAAATCTAAAGTTAAGTCTGATATCTGGGCCCGTAAATGGCGACATCTCACTAGCAAATATGGTGGAAACGTGGCCCATGACAACTTGACAACCAGGGATATCAACTCAACGACTTATAATAGGCAGACAATTGTCGCAAGCTCTGACCTTATCATGGGCCGAGATGTGGTATGTTTTGTCCCAACAGATTGAGTGAGTAGTTCGTTAACTTGAGATATGAGTGTTGATGTAGTAAAGAATACTATTGTCTTTGCTCTTCTCCTGTTTACTTAGATACGTACTGGTTGAATTGTCAGACAACCAACTACTAAACTCAGATCATCACGAGCTTCAGTCAATGCATACGAATCAACGAACACACGTATATATGTACGAAGTAATGTAACATCACGTCAACGTGCTTCTCACCTGCAGTCAATTGATGGAATGATCGGATTGTCTGCTCTGCTTTTGGTTGCCAACTGGACGCTTCCCCACAATCCTACATCGATCTAGGCTTCTTCACCCCTGACAGTCTCCGCTAGAGCTACAATAACCCCTCCATCCATTCGTTCCCCTCTCGACAACAAAGGGAACAGAACAAACTGACCCAACGGACACGAAGCAATAGAAGCTTCAGCTCTAGGTAGCCAAGCTCCAGGTCCTAAGCTCCCTTCACTTCTGCATTAGCCTGTGGAAGTAAGTGTCCGTGGAAAAGCTTGTGAAAGGTACCTAGGTACCTACACAGATATGCATTTTCTAGCTGCACCCATGTGTCTTGCGTAGGACGGACACGTACCTCTTACCTCTCAAGGTACAGGACATACAATCTTCAAGGACTCTTTTTCTTCCAGTTTTTAAAGTAAAGGAGCTGCAGGACTTTTCGACCCCTGTTCTTCAGCGCATGCGCATTGGGCGCGTGCGCGGTATACTCGTAGCTTTTATCCACATTACAACCGCAGGGCTCAACTCTATGATCCCTCCATCGTCTCATTCGGCAGGCTTAGACACTATCATTTGGAAACTCAATGACGTCGACCACTTTATACATTCACCCGAACTACCCGACAGATACCATTCGCTATTGTTGCGCCAAGACGAGACAGGACGAGACACGGCGTCGCGCGCACAACGGAAAGCATTTGTTTATTATTACGTGGCTGTCCTCATTCTTAATGTCAAACATTTCTTCAATTCTTCCTCTACTCTACTCTAACTCTACTACAACTCTAATCTAAATATCTTCACTCTCCGACACACGGACAGACCCCTCCTCCGACTCCGACTACCCCAAAAAAATAACACATATGATCCCCACGGCCGACCCCATCCTCTCTCTCAACCCTGAGACCTTGCCCCCGTCGGCTTTGCACATGCTATCGCTGTCGCCCAAGGCAATGCATAAGATGTCCGCCATCTCCAACCCACTTGTCTCTCCAAACGCCATCCCCCCTCGCACCTCGAGCAACGGCGTCCCAACCCCTCTCAGCCCGACTCCTACAAAATCCGTTCTGCGCCCCGTCCCAGAAGGCGACTGGTTGAGCCAGAAGCAGGCTTCTGCAAGGACACAGCCCTCAAACCCTGGCTACGGTGTCATGGCAGCTCCCAACCCACCTCCCGACCCCGAGCGCTACGCTCACGAGGATCTCGAGTTCACGGCCAAGCGCTCCTGGAACGGCGACAAGGAAAGCGTTGTCCGTGGTCCTTACGACTATGTCATTAGCCATCCTGGTAAAGACTTTCGCGCCCAGTTGATCGCCGCCTTCAATGCATGGCTCGACGTGCCCGCCCCGAGTCTCGAAGTCATTACCCGTGTTGTCGGTATGCTACACGAGTCTTCGCTTCTCATTGACGATGTACAAGATTCGTCCGAGCTGCGCCGTGGTTTTCCCGTCGCACACAACATCTTTGGTGTCGCCCAGACTATCAACTCGGCCAACTACATCTACTTTGTTGCTTTGCAAGAGCTTCACAAGCTCAACAACCCAGAGCTGATTACCATATTTTCCGATGAGCTCGTCAACCTTCACCGGGGTCAAGGAATGGACCTATTCTGGCGAGACACCTTGACCTGTCCTACTGAGGAGGACTACCTCGAAATGGTCGGTAACAAGACGGGCGGTCTTTTCCGTCTTGGTATCAAGCTCATGGCAGCAGAGGCCAACGGTCCTACCGACTGTGTGCCTCTGGTCAACTTAATTGGCCTCATCTTCCAAATTCGCGACGACTACATGAACCTGTCATCCAAAGAGTACAGCCATAATAAGGGAATGTGCGAAGATCTGACTGAGGGCAAGTTCTCGTTCCCTGTTATCCACAGCATCCGCTCCAACCCCACAAATCTCCAACTCATCAATATTCTCAAACAAAAGACCTCCGACATTCAGGTTAAGCGATATGCCGTTTCCTACATGGAGTCCACCGGCAGTTTCGAGTACACTCGAAAAGTCGTCAACGTTCTCATTGAGCGAGCTCGCAAGATGGCCGAGGAGCTTGATGAGGGCCGCGGCAGCACAAAAGGCATCCAAAAGATCCTCGACAAGATGGCCGTCATGTAAACCTATGCGATTTTGCCTACTCTTTTCTCTTTTTTTCCTTTGTCACATTATGGATACCGGTTTGATGTATTATGAGCGGAGTGCACATAGAATGATCTGGCAGGAGCCAGCAATATCTGACGATCCCCGATTTTGCCATTACAGCAGAGGTCTGTTGAGCATGATACCACTTGGGTTCTGGAGAGATGATCTTGCAATCAGCTTTGGATTTGGTATATAGTCTTTGACCCAGCCAATTGAAAGAGCATCCATTAATTAATACTTAAAACTCGTGCTTTGGTTTTGAAACGTGTGAAATCATGATATTCGTCCTCAGCCTCAGTCATACAGCCTATCTCATTACAAACCAATCACCGACGCCTTATACGAATAACCAAACGCTATAGTCTTTTATTACAAAAGATAACAGGAAATCAATTCGGCTGCACCGGAATTGCTTTACGCTTCACCAGCCTGACCCATCGTCGCCGTCTCCAGTTTCCTCTCCTGCCACTCCCATCTTCATTCTCTTCCCAGCTTGGCATAGATGTCGCTTTCTGCTTTCCCTTGTCGTTGACAGGAAGGTCTACGACGCCAGTGCGCTCATCTCGTTCGTCCCAGATATCATACACCCAACGCTCACCTTCTGTTTCAACTTCGACACCTGTGATGATGCGCTCTTCAACCCACTCGCGACTCCAGAGATCCAGAGCCCATTTCTTCTCACTCCACTCCCATGCCTCGGGAGGCATGACGTCCTCAAAAAAGCGGGAACCTCGAGGTCGTTCACCAGCGATGCGAGGTTGCGAGAGGGGATCGTAGGGAGAAGGGCAGAACAACCAGGGCTCCCACTCGCCACCGCCAGAGGTTTTACGCTGCAGTTCGAAGATTTCGACTTCGCGTGTTTCAGGACTCGTATCGAGTATGATATCCGAGTTGGTCCAGTTTTCCAGCCAATATTGTGCTTTTGCCCCTTGCGGTTGTAGGTGCTCGCGATGAGCAGCTGCAAGGAGGCGGGCAACATAAGGATGACCCATACCAACGATGGCCCAACCGCCCACAAGAAAGATGATCCGCCAAGGCAGAAGGTGAGCTGAAACAGTCATGGCTATGCCGCTCACTGTGAGAAATAAAAAAAGCGTAGAACTCAGTGCTTCATTACTGAAATTTGTTACTGGTACCAGTAGAGAGACGACTTGATCATGCCCGCGACTGAAGTCATCCATGCAATTCTGTAGATCACGCATGTTTCTGAAGAAATCCTTACTGAGCTCCTTGACCGGCTTTACCGTTGCCGCAGGCGCCAGAGGCGGCCCTTGGGGTGAATATCCAACATTTTGCTCACTTGACAGCGTACCTTTCGGCGGCGCAGGGTGTCTTGCCATGAAGGAGGGGATGAACACCCCTAGTAGAAGTATGGCGATAGGTAACACGAAGATGAGATACGGATCTAAACAGACAAAGCTGTAGACGGCGAGGAGGGAGATGGTATGTGACGCCTGTTTCCAGGACAGGATGCGCTCGACGCGCGCCTGAAACTTGAAGACCACGCCTATTCGGGCATTGAAACGGCGAAAGTTGAAGGACATAGTGGTGATATTGAAGTTTGGTCTTTCGGTTTGAGTGGGTGTTTGCTCGTCACCCACAAATTGGACGTCATTCTGGTCATCATCATCGGTAGGTATAACTTGCTGTAAAAGTCTATTGTGCCGTTAGTCGGAGATTCTGGCATTTTAGTAACTCAGGATGCCAATACTTCTCTACCAATCGATCCTGTATGTTGGCTTTTTGACGAATAGCCGCAAAGCCTCCACGTAGGCCTGTTTTCTGAGACGGCGTCTCTGACCCTGAAGGTGTATTCGAAGGAGAGTTCGAGTCGGCACCAGCAGCAGGTGTCTTGTCATCATCATCACCATGGCCGCGACGCCGACGAGAGTCCTCGGTAGAGTCAAGGCCCCGCCCTGCGGCGAGTATCTCTGCGGTGAAGTCGTCCATGAGGATGTTTCAAACCATAATTCGAACCTACAACATCGGTTTGTGGAGGTTTCAGAGGGTTGGTTGGTTAGTAACAGGTACCTAGGAAGTGATGCCCGTCCCGCGTGGAGGTGTCACGGCATGATCGCGGGCATGTGACACTAAGTGACATCACCTTAAGCCAAACAGCTGGAACACACCAAACTTTAGTCATGTGCTGACATTTGAGAGAGAGGGAAAGGTACACAGAAACTAGTCCAAGTAGAGAACGGCACGTTAGATTTACAGGAAATCCCTATTTTACTAAGTTAGTGACCCTCCATGTTCATGACAGTATTCAATGTGGTAAAGCGTTGAGCGGCCCGTGACGCTTTGAAGTCGCCTGTGAAAGAACACGCACAAAGTACTAATCGTCTCCTTTTATTAGCACCTGGCGATGGTCATTTGGTCTGACTGGGTTAAGGAGATTGTACCACAACCCAAGACGGGAAATATAAACAACAATGGTATTTTATGATAGTGATATTTCCGATTCAAATTACTATGCGACAGTTTTTCATCGTTTCTGTGCCCATGTTTATTTACCCCACACCAACCCGGTAGACAGAACCCTCGTTATTTCAGATTCATGCTTATTAGCGTGTTCAGGCATTGTGACAGATTTGAAGATCAAGGGTGCAGTATAGTGTAGGTTAATTAATTCCCTAACTTATGTGAAACCCAATTTAAGTGCCCTGTTCATATGTCTAACAATACTAAGCAATCACCCGATTGATGTGCGCAATTCATCTCGTAAAGCACCTTGCATGCTCAATTATTAACTGTATCCTGTGACGAGAGTCACTTACTCACATATCATTTCCTACATACCCAGACAGTCTAGACTATCCTTTCTTCTGCATCAATCAGCCGCGCTCGGCTGCGGGGCGGTCAGGGTCTGCAGACAACAAGAAAACAACAAAACGCGACTTGAGATGCACGATCAGATCCTTGGTGTTTGGCAGGACAACAATGCATAAGGTAAGGTACCAATAGCGGTCTCGATAGGATAGACCAGGTTCATCAGACTAGAAACAATGCGCTGTTCGAAATAGTTACAGCTTTGTGTGCTGTCCAAGAACGATGCATCCGTATGGGCTATGGCCCTATCGGCTGGGGATGCCCGAGAAAGGGTTATGGATCCCTCTAGGTCCTCCAAATCCAAGACACGACTCAATCCTTGTATTCACTTGGAAGAGGCTGGTCTGAGCGGGAGGCTTGATGAAGATGACATCGGTCAATTTATCAAAGGGGAGTCTTAAAACTTGGCAGCCTGGTTGCGAAACAGCGTTACATTGGTAGAACTGTCGTTTCGAGACACCCAGTTACCCGACCTTATCTCAAGTTGGATATCTCCCATGTCAACAATATCCAAATACAGCCTATATAACCAAACTCAAATTGACAGCCAGCGGCAGTAAACAGTTTCTGTCCGTACCCGTTGATGCGTCAACCGGTTCACGCGTATACACCATTCGGCACCATGTGCTATGGTTAGTAGCATCACGATGCCACTGTCGTATCCACCGTTCTGTGCAAATCTTCCACCTAGAATCACCGACGGCGCCACTCGCTATCGGCTAGACGTGCTTGGGAGACAGGGTAGCTGTGAACCGAGCGAAATGTGATGACGATGAACCACGACACTGACGGGCAGAGTGTAGCCCAATCTAGGAGTATAATTGCGGCCTTATTAATGCGGAATCGGGCTGACATTCCACAACATCCGAGTGGAAGAATGCCTCATCTCTCTAAATGGAAAAATGGTCATGATTGACGTTCCTTAATATCTGCATCGCGGATTCGAGGGAGGCTAATAAGGCAAGGGGAATGAATTGCTGTTAAGGTAGGTACCGTGTGTTAGTTTGTGGATACCTGTTGATGCCCGCAGAAAAAGTCCGTGTAGATATGTACCTCGCAGCAGCTAAAATGGCGGTAAAAGACATCAAACCGTCTCTACAGGTATGGAACACCCACTCTATTCGTACCAGTAACTAATTCAGGGACCAATCTCCCAGCTCTAACATCCAATCATGCCATCTTTTTCCCGTGTCAAGGTCCACAGCTTAACTGTCTACTGCTAACCTACTAAAGTACCTTCTTCATAAGATCCTGTTCGCCAATATCAGCCTCTCAGGCGTCTTGATTCTCACACTAAATTGAAAGATGCCCGCCAAGGTGGCTCTTAAAGGACACTGACCAAGGGCACCCTAGCTTTAGCATTCATAGAAGTCTTCTATCCCCCATGCTTGCTGCCCCCTTCCGGAAACTGCCTGTGACCACCCTCTGACAACGAGTGAGGAAAGACCATCCTCGCCATCTTTCCATCTTGTCTTGCAAAGACCTAGGCTAGGGTAAAAAAAAAAAGACGACCAACAACCTTGCCTTACCTAACCTGCCTCCACTATTGGAACCTGTCTTAACGACTCCATCTTTTTTATCCATCTCCATCTCGCATCTTACTGTACCATCCCTTTCTTGGGGCGCGCCCACCGCAATCAATCAATCAATCAATCACTCTGGGTTCAATCCTGTCGACTGCATTTTGTTTCTCCAGTTTGTCACCGACCGCTCTCACTCACTCACTGCACTGTTTGCTCTCCTGCATCTCAACAATCTTGTCCGTTCCGGAATGAGGTAGCCGTTCGAATGCGCTCAGCTCCCTGACCGGACTGAGTCTGTGCTAGCGACCGACCCCGTGAAATCCACCTCCGTCGTCGCATTGCCAGCCACCCCTCGACCGGACCCTATGAGCCGCGAGCACAAGGCACCTGCTGGGCCTCGACCAGCCAACTTTTCTCCAACGCGACTGTGAGCATTTTCATCTTTCTTGTTTGTGTTTCTACATTTGACTTGATGGTCCATGCTTGTTATGGTCTATCATCATCCAAATCTTTGTCGCCTTGCATTTCCTTGCACATGGCCAAGCTGACCTTGATCCCTTTGTGACAGGGGCAAAACCACAAACGCTCAGCCTCGACCACCTCTACCCTCGACGAATCCCGGCTTCGCCTCTGACGATCCAATGCTCAGCGCAACTCCTTCCAGCAACCATTCTCTTTTTTCTTCTTTCAGTAGGGATGGGGAACAAAATCAATTAAACGATTCGACTGCTTCTTTCGACTTTTTGCCGTCGGTCAGTTTTGACGATCTGCAGAGCAGTATCGAGACCGCTTCAACAGACTTCAAGCTCACCCAATTCCCGTCCTCCACCGGTGAAGGAGACAGTCTCGATGCCCACGGAGCAGATGACAGCAGCAGCATGTCTTCCCGTTCCCAAATAGCTCCGCCTTCGAACGGTGCCGCAACTCGCCCTGTCGCCCAATCCACCACTCGACCCGCCCGATCAAGTTCGATCCTGCGCCGACCCAGTAACTCTATCAGACAGCCTACCAACACCACCGGCGGGTTTGTTCAAACTGAAGTTGCAACCGGTCCAGGCACTGCACGCTCTCGTCGGCAGAGCCAATACCCTCCCGTGTCTGGCACTACCGCGGCCAAGCCTCCTCGAAAATCAATCGGCCCTGGAATCATTGGCGATGCAGACTATGGATCTCGTCCTGCCCAAAAGAGGCGACCCAGTCTGTATTCTGAAGGAGCACCTAGCTCGGCCAGGGCTTCGATGGATGCTAACACGACATGGCTGGAAAACACTACAAGAAACTTTTCCACTTCGAGGGCCACCAAGGCTAAATCAGTACAGCCGCCACCGCGTTCGAATCAAGCAAACTTGGGTTTCGGTAATACTCTTACCCCGGAGCAAAACAGACACTCAACCCTTGCCCCGCGATCGCCTCGTGTAGGAGGTCGACTGAGTACACCGTCGTCCACCAACAAAAGAGTCTCCATGATGCCTGGTGCCCACCACTCGTCGCACGCGACAGGCCTCGGGGCAAGGACAATTAGTCCCACTGATACAAGACGAATGAAGCGTATGTCCACGATGCCACAATCCGTGAGCCTTAGTCAGGTGTCAACTCCTCCTCCGCCACCACCAGTGTCGATGAACAACCAGGTTGAGAGGGCCGAATCAAAATCACCTTCGATGATACCGAGGAGGACTTCTGGCACCCCGTCATCCTCACGAACTACCCCGGATATGCATCGCAAATCATACAACTCTGTCTTGTCAGCCACTTCTTGCTTGAGCATAAATTCTGCAAGGACGTCAACTGGCTCCTTGAATCGTATATCTACCTCGTCATCTACTTCACGCCTGCCTGCACCGAAACACACTACAGTACACAACCCTATACCAACCGATGACGATGAATATGTGCCCCCTGTCCCCGCTATACCAAAGGCATACGAGTCCCCGAAAGACTCGCCTGCGGATACCTACTTTGTGGAAAAGAAGAAGACTGCACTCAGTAACATGGATGCCATGGGTGCGAATTCGAACCCAACTGGCGTTATATCGATGCCTGTCTTTCCTGAGCCTACAAAGTTGCGTAGAAAGCCAAGTGGTCAACGGAGCTATGTACCAATGGTGGCCGCCGAACCAGACAACAAGGCCACTCCACCTAATAAGCGACACCTTCAACCATTACGACTGCCTCCAATGAATCTGGGACCCTTGAGCACGCCAACAACTAACAAAATCGCAGCCTTGCAGGATCACAATAGTGTGGACAGACATGAAACTCCTCCACCGCCTCGACACTTACCAAAGACACCAACTACCCCAATGACAGCTTCCAAGAGCTCCTTCTTTGCCAAGACTCGTCGTGGGGATACTCCCGAGCTCCCATCTCTGAGGAGCAGCAGCTCTGTCCATCATGCTCACTTTACTCCTACGCCTCCCGATGTTAGTTCGACCGACTCCTCGTTGGCTTTCAAGGAGCTTGACCACAAGCAAAGCATGTCGCCTTTCTTATCATCCTCTCTGCCCAAGGGGGGTGCAGACCACAGTTTCCTGAAGCGATCAAAAACGGGTGCTGATTTTACGACATCGGACGCGAACATCTTCCAAGATCAAGCTCACCATAAGCCAGCAGGCCCTCGGGCACCGAAAGACGCCGAATCCACCAGCTCCAAATCCCCTCCCCCCGAGCCTACACCAGAAGAACCACAAACTCCATCCTCTATGAGCTCTATTCGACGAAAGCTCAGCCTCTCCTGGAAGCGTGGGAATTCCAAGAGTAACGTTACCGCCCCTGGAGATGTTCCTGATAAGGCACATGCAAAACAGCATGAGGAACCTATGCCGCCTCCTAGGATCCCGATTTCAGCTACTCTCAACAACCTATCCAACGTCAAACAGGCCAGTCCGTCACCGAATCTGAAGCAAGGCCCTGCCGGTTATCTGGATACAAGGAGACGTAAGAGTTCAGGTGGTAGTCTCAATGGACTCATTACGCATGACAAGAACAAGAGTGATTCCTGGACTGCGAAGAAGCCTGCTCCTGATCCTTCGACAATGCCTGTTGGCCGAAACACCTCTGTCATGCAAAAGATTCTTCGCCCCAGGAATTCTTCCGGTCTGGCGAAAGGTCCCGACTCATATTCTGCTGATCTTGACAAGGATGATCAAGCAGCCGAAGATGAAATGGCCAAGCTGGGTTCTCGACGAAAGGAAACAGAAGTTGCTGCTAGAACGTTGGATGCTCTCAAAAAGCGAGCGACACCAAAGGAACGAGTCGGTGCTCACGAAGCCATCCGTATCGCCATGCTCAACATTTATGAGCGAGGCGAGATTGTTGATTACACCGACGTCTTCTTCTGTGGAACACAGAATGCACACAAAGTGATTGGTGATCTTCAATCCGACGCGCCCAATTTTGGCTACGATGATGAGCGTGGAGATTATACCATTGTGCCCGGAGATCACCTTGCATATCGATATGAGATCATTGATGTTCTCGGAAAAGGTAGTTTTGGACAAGTCGTCCGTTGTATTGATCACAAGACGGGCGGACTGGTCGCTATCAAGATCATCAGAAATAAGAAGAGATTTCACCAGCAAGCTCTTGTCGAGGTCAACATCTTGCAGAAGCTTCGCGAATGGGTAGGCAAGCTCCTTTACTGATCCTGTGATATATCGTATTAACTCGTACTAGGACCCAAAGAACAAGCATAGCATGGTCAACTTCACGCAGAGTTTCTATTTTCGCGGCCATCTCTGTATATCTACCGAGCTGTTGGACATGAACCTCTACGAACTTATCAAGGCACACGCGTTCAGAGGTTTCTCTATCAAGATCATTCGGCGTTTTACCAAGCAGATCCTCAGCTCACTCAATCTTCTCAAGCAACATAAAGT